CGGGCACCTCGTCGAGGACCTTCAGAAAGAGCGCAGCGGTTGGTGCCTGCGATCGACGGCGGGGAGGGTTCGGGACGTGGACCGGGCACAAAGGGGCTGCTCGGAGCTAGAGAGGAGTGCGTGGGGTGCTGTCGGCGAGGCAGGCTGCTCGTGAGCGCGAGAAATAGCCGAGTTGATGTGTTTGTGTGATCTGTTCGTTATCTTGATGCGATGCGACGCAGAATGATCGATCGAGACATTATTTTGGCCCAGAACGACCAGACAGTACTCTCACGCCCGTCGCATGCAGGTCACAGCCTTGCGCGTCGACCAGTGCCGCGTCACACGGGGTGCAGTTGTGGGCAGCAGATCTCACCTCGTCGACCCCGTCCTGGGAGCCTGACGACGACGCCATCGCTTCCCAGCGGCCGTGAAGTACATCGGACCGCGACGCGCTGCCCCGCTGTGGCCTCGGCCTCGCTGGCCCGCACCTACGCAAGGCCGCCTGACATGACGAACGACGTCATGGGCAACGTCAGCGGAGCCTCGCAAGCTCACCCAGCTGACTCCACAGCGCAGCGACGTCCTGTCAAGGCTAGCCGGAGACTAGCACGTGCGTTGTTTCAGTGTTTGTTTCAGTACTTTCGGGACTAGCATTTAGACATTTCTATGCACAAACAACAGCATCAAGACGGCACGCAGCATCGCCGAGCCCATCGCTCGCGGCCCACCACCACAGCCATACCATGCTGCCGCCGCACCGAGTCGCGTCACACGCCCCCAGCGGCCCCTCAGACCCCCCCGCACACAACCCACTGCCATCACTTTGGCTTCTTGACATCACTTTGGCGACGACGTTCCCGTCGTTGACGCCGCCCCGCGCGTTGACATCGCACCGCCACGGCAGCCCCGGAAGCGTCAGCCAGCTCTCCACCGCCGACTGTTGCAGGCTGTTGCGTGCTTGCCGCAACGGACCTCATGTGGGGCTCGAAGATCGGCACTCGCTCCACGCAGGTTCCCGATTCATCAGTTCGTCATGGCACGCTGCCTATCATTCCTCATTTCTGCTTGCCCGCGATGCAAGGCAGCTCCTTCGAGCGGCGTCAGCGACCCCCACGCGTCCGCTGCTGTGCTCAGGAGGGATGTGGCGCGTTGCAGCGACAGGGGCGCGTGAGCGCTCGATGCCTGCGGTGGCGGGACAGTGGCAGTCAGACTTGATCCAGGACAATAGGCCGGGCACGTTGGCCCGCCGTGTCAGTGTCAGGCGGGTGTTTGGTTTTTGTGGGTAGCTAGTAGCGCGGGGAAGGCCGAATAGGGAGATGGGGGCTCGGAGAGATGCCAGGCGCATCGGCATGCATACGTCGAGCACGTAGGGCGATGGTTCGAGGTCGAACGCGTGCGTGAAACGTCGCGTGCGTGGCCTGGAGGCAGGTCACAGAGAGCGGGTGCGTGAGTGTGTGCTGAGGGGCGAGGTAGCACGAGTATCACGGTGCTGAGGCTGTTGCATCTTGCACATCCGGGCCGTCCGTTTCCTGGAAGCAGTGACGCAGCACCGCGTGAGAGCGGGAACTTTGAGCCCAGCCTGCTGCGAACAGCTGCTAGCGCCCCGCCGAGCACCTGTGACGCATGCAGTGAGCAGTACACGACCACCAGTCACCGGCTCTGTCGGGAGCTTGTCCGCCGCGCTATGTTGCGCGCCAGCCGCCCACTGTCGGCCAACCAAGGCAGCGTGCCGGCTGACTGGCACACACAGCTGCGACGGGGCAACGGACGTCGTTGATTGTCAGCCACGGCACACGTCATCAGCCCCGGCTTCTCGGCTGAAACAATCAAATGCGAGCTGCTCAGCCGCACTCACTCGCTCAACATCTCTCCACCGCGCACCGCGCACGTTCGCTCAGCCGACTGCGGAACGCCTGCGCGGGCACACGCCGCGCTGCACACTCAGCTACGTGCGGGTCTCCAGGCAAGCGACAGGTGCTGCAGCTCCGTCATCAGCTGTCGGCAACACGGCAAGAGGTGCTGGCATGAAGTTGAATCAGGACAATCGTTGACGGCGTGGACAGGAGGCGCTGGACTCGGTCGACACCGTTCACATTGTGAGGCGGGCCGTTCTGGTGCGCGTTTGCGGTGCCGCGGCGTGTGGGGGCCGGAACAGGTATGATGTTACTGAAGCAGGTATGGTGCTGCAGTCGTGCTTGCAGGCCACGCAAAAGTGCGGCGACCTTGCCGATCATCCGGCGTCCTCCGTAATCCAGAGCTCGAAGGCGCCGCGCTCCGGGTGTGCGTCGACGCTGTCCCTCAGAGCCTGCACTACTTCTGCGCCGATGCGGGGGTTGCCTAGCAGGTCGAGGTGCTGCAGCGAGCGGTTGACGCGCAGCGCCTGCGCGAGCGCCATCGCGCCCCTTGAGAGGACGGTGTTGTGTGCCAGGCTCAGCCTCTGCAGGCCCGTGTTGGTGTGCAGCGCTCGCGCAATGGCCGTCGTTCCAGTCGGACTGATGTACTGACGCGGCAGGTGCAGCTCGCGGAGGGTGTGGTTGGACGCGAGAGCGCGCGCGAGCGCAGCGGCGCCATCTTCTCCGACGCGATAGCTGTCATAGGCGCGCCGGCCAGGAACGTACGGGAGACCCAGGTTGAGGGATACAAGCGACTGGTTGCGCGCGAGCCCGGCGAACACCGACTCCCACTCGGAGGCGTGGCCGGCGATCTTGAGCGCCAGCTCCTTGAGCGAGGTGCTGCGCGCCAGCATGTCGCCGAGCGCTTTGCCTGCTGTGTTGGCGGGGGTGTGGATAGCGCCGACCCACAAGGTTAGCTCCTCGAGCGACGTGCTGTCCGCGACCGCCCTCGCGAGTGCAGTGACACCCCTGGAGTGTATGGTGTCGTCTGCCACGAAGGCGCGTCGCAGGGTGCGGTTCTGTGCCAGGCCGCGTGCCAGCTCTTCAGCGCCCTGATCCCCGATGTCGTTGGCACGCACGTCCAGGGTTTGGATCGAGCTGTGGCTCGCGAGCATCCTGCCGGCCGCCGCAGCGCCGTCGTCGCCGATGCCGCAAGAGAACAGATCGAGGTTTTGCAGAGCAGTTGCGTGCACTGCGACTGCGTCGCACAAGTCGACCGCCGCTGCGGGCCCGATCTTGTTTCGTGCCACTGAGAGATGACGCAGGGCGGAGCACGACCTGACGAGAGCTGCGAGGGTGCGCCCGCCCACAGGGCCCAGGCGGTTGGATTCCAAGAACAGGCTCTCAAGCTTGTTCGACTTGGCCGCGGCCGTTGCCAGACTCGACGCGCCTGCATCAGTCATGCCTGTGTTCGGCAGCAGGAGAATCTCTAGGGCGCCGAACCCGAGCATCGCACACGTCGCAGCCACCGCGTCGCCGTGGTGGTGATTGATGATGGCGAGAGACCGCATGGTGCCCGAGGTGACCGACGCACTCGCGATCATAGAGAAACCGAGCTGATCGACCAGGTGCTCTGCCGCTGGGCTGTCCGCGACTTCCGGCAAGATGTTCATCCTTTGCAAGCCAGTGCCGCTTGCGAGGTTTGCGAGCGCCACCGCGGTGCCCGACCGAGGGCCCACGCCGAAAACGGTCACCTCACGCAGCTGTCGTGCGCCTTTCACGGCCTCCAGGATGCGTTGAGTTGCCGTCTGCGCTCTGTCGGCGTCGGTGCCGCCCGAACAACAACACGGTCGTCCCGTCACGATGGTCAGTTCCTCCATGTGTGCGAGGACCGGCTGAGTGCGCAGCAGCGAGCAGATGTACGGAGCATGTTCCTCGGGGGGGTCGACCTCGGACTCAAGGCAAGGCGCCGTGTCGTCCTCCCCGATGGTCGCTCTCACCACGCGCAGCTGCTTCGCGCCGGAGGCCGAGGCCGCATCGAGTGTCCGCCTCAAAGCCTTCCAGCGCAACAGCTCGGTCTGCTCGTCGTCCTCGGTGACCCCGGCGCTCGTCACCGCCTCGTGCAGCGCCCGCGCGTCCTCCACTGGGAAGAGCACTCCGCTGTACTCCAGCTGACCGGCGTACCGCGAGCCTGGAGTGATGCGGCGAGCTAGACCGGCCAGAAGCGGCCCGACGAGGCGGACTTTGCGAACAGCCACCGCAGGTCCCCTCGCAATGATGGAGGACTGAGATTCGACGTCTGTCGTCGCCTGGTAGTGCCGCATCACTGCGAGCAGCGCCGACCAGCACACGCACGTGATTTTTTCTACCTCCACGGAGCTCATTTCATCCATGAGCCGCGGCACCGTCTCCAGCACCTCCAGGAACAGGTTGGGGGCCATTGCCATCGACGCCTGCGTCAGGGCGGAGGGACGGCCACGTCAGCGCGGCGCAGAGGCAGCGCATATCATCAGCGATAGATTGGCAGCGGTCACAGAGTGGGAAAGCATGCCGGTGCGAGAACGCCCGGACGTTTTTTGAGGCAGCCTTGTCCTGAGCGCGCGGAGAGGCGCGTGGGCGGCGCGATTTGTTGAGACCGAGCCCAGCAACGTCGCCCTCCCGATCTCATCAGAGGCATCACGGTCATGCGCAACCGCGTGCGTGCGCCTGAGACGCGCGGCTTAGATGCACAGTTTTCGAGCGCTCTTACCTGCCCGCCATCCGCCTGAGCGCGCTTCTTTCGCGCGGCTCGCGTGATCGCCATCGCCTACGTGCCTCGCGGTATGCTCCAGCTGGCCGGGAGTATCGTCGCCGAGCTCGAGCGGGTCCCCTTCACCCCACACCGTGCCGTCAGACCAGCACCAGCATCAACCGACGTCAGCTTGACACCTCCCGTCGCGTCAGGGCGCACGGGCTCCTCTCAACCATCGCTTCAGGCTGTACAACGCACACGCACAAGCGCCAGATCATCGTCGTGCGCTGTTCAACCCCTCGAAACGAGAATACAGAAAAGAAAAACGCTGTCAACTGAGCATGCTGCATCGCTCGGCTCCACCGGCCGCACCTACCTCTCGCGACCGACCAACGCTTCCCCCATCCGCCAACGCCTCGACGAGTCGCGTCACACACCCACACACCCCCCCCCCCTCACTTTGGCGTCTTGATCGCGACGACCTTCCCGTCGTTGACGCTGCCGCCCGCCTTGACCTCGTACCGCCACGGCAGCCCCAGGTGCGTCAGCCGGCTCTCCACCGCCGACCGAATCCGCGGGTTGTTCTCGCGCGAGTTGTTCCCGCGCCCCGTCACCAGGTGCAGCTCCACGCGCCCCGGCATCTGATCCGCCAGCCCCAGCACCTCCCCAAGCACCTCGAGCGCCTCCTCCACGTGCAGCCCGTGCAGGTCCCGCTCCAGCCGGCTCCGCGACTGCTGATCCCGCAGCAAGTTGTCGGCGCGCCGCGCCTTCTGCGACGCATCGCGCAGCCGCTCCCGCAGCGCGTGCACGGTGCCCATCTGCTCCGCGAGCGCCTCCCGCGGCAGCCCCGTCGACGACATGCGCTTCAGCAGCGCCTGCGCCTCCTCGAGCCGCTGCTGCAGTTCGCGCACCTCCTGCTTGTGCCCCGTGATCTCCGCGCGGACCTTGTCGCTCGCGGGGCCCGGGGCGTTCCGCCGCGCCTCCTTCGTCGCGGAGAAGCGGTTCGCCGCGGGCGGACCCAGTTGCCGCTGCACCGCCTCGAGGCTGCCGTTGTTGGCCACCAGCGCCTGCATTAGAGCGTACGGGTCCTTCCCGGGGTACATGTCGACGAGCTTGGCGCGTTTCCGGAGCAGCTTGCGCGCGCCCGCGATCTCGAAGCTCTGCGCGCGGTCCGCGCCCGCGTCCACGCCGTCAGTCGGACTCGAGTAGGAACTATCATCCTGCAGACTCCCCTCGCCGCCGTCCTGCGCGTCGTCGTCCTCGAGAGGCACGCCGAGCTGCTGCATCAGCTCGAGCCGCGCCGCGTTCACGTCGCCGTCCTTGTCGACCACCGCGACCTTGACGATGTCGTACGGCACCACCACGAATTCGATCCACAGCTCGAGCGCGGCGTCCACGATGCGCATGTGCTGCCGGGCCGACTCCGGGACCGCCGCGCCGCCGGCCGCCATCTGCTGCTTCGCCTGCGCGGCCATGCGCAGCATCTGGGCCATCTCTTCCAGCGTGCGGAAGGCAAAGTCCCAGTCGAACCGAGCCTGAGTCAGGATGACCTGGACGATGCGGGGCTCGACGGTCGGGAACGCGTTGCGCAGGAGGAGGAGCATCATGCTCTGGGCCTCCTCGTCGATCGTCGGCGGCGCCGTGGCGAGCGACAGGGGTGCGGCCGCGCTCTGCGGCGGGTCTGGGTCGGGCTGCGCTTCCGCGGGGGGCGTCGCGAGGTCGACGGCGGCGGCCGGCGGCGGCGCGCGCGGCGGGAGCGCGGCGCTCGGGGACTGCGCTGCGGCGGCGGAGGCGCGGGCTGGAGCGCGCCGCGAGCGGCGGCGGGGGCGCGGCGGCGGGGAGCGCGGCGGGGCGGCGGCGGGGGCGGCGGAGGCGCGACGGCGGGGGCGCGCCGCGGCCGGCGACGCGGGCCCGCTGTCGCGCTCGTGCGACGTCGCCCGCTGCTGCGCCACGCAGAAGAAGATCAACGCCGCGCGCTGCGCGGCCTCGGGCGACAGCCGCTGCTTGTCCGCGCCGTCGAAGAACTCAGAGCACCCCTTGACGCCGTGGGACGTCAGCCCGCGCCGCATGCAGGCCAGCGTCTGGCCATGGTACGCGTCGTTGGGCTCGAGGCCCCGCGCGAGCCGCACACGCGCCTGGAACTGGAACCGCGACTGGAAGGCCTCCGGCACCAGGTTCCGGCCCACGCAGGCGCCCGGAAAGCCCTCGTCGTCCAGCTCGAACACGCCAAACACCCGCTTGCTTTGCACGTTGACCAGGAACAGCGCCATGCCCGGCTCGATGCCGGCGATGACGCGCCTGCTCGCGCCCGCCAAAAGCATCCGGACCAGACACTCGTCCTGCGTCTCCGCGTTGCACACGAACACCGCGCCGCCCTTGGGGTACTTCAGGGGGTTGTCCCACAGCGGCTGGCGCCTCGACATCGCCGCTGCCTCCACCCTCGCCTGCAGCGCCGCGCGGTCGTCCAGCAGCGGCTCCGCGGGCCGCGCCGCCTGGTTGTGGCCGGCGTCTGCGCGCCCGCGGGCCTCGTGCAGCTGCCGCGCGTGGGCGAGGGCGGTTTCTTCGTCCCTGGTGGCCGGCGCGGCCGCGACGGAAGGCTGCGCGGGCCGCGTGGGCCGGGCCTGCGGTGCGGAGCGCGCCGGCGAGATCTGCGCGCGCGGCGGCGAGCCCGGGCCGCTGGGCGCCGCGTGCGGCTGTGGCTGTTGCTGCTGCTTCGGCGGTTGAGGTTTCGGGGAGCGCGCGGCCTTCGGCGACCGCTGCGGCGCCTTCGCGGCCGCCGGCGGCGCGCGCGGCGGCTGCGCGGACCCTCCCGGCGACCCCGGCACCGCCGCACCCCGCTGCTGCCCCGCCGCCCCGAGCCGCGGCCAGTGCTCCTCCGCGCCCGCGTCCGCCTCCTCCTCCTCCTCGCTCGTCTCCTCCGCGGACCCCACCTCCTCGTCGTCCACCATCAGCGCGATGCGCATCCGTTCGAGTCGCAACGCCTCCTCGGACATTCCCGGGTCCTCCTGCACGGCCCCCCAGCCCCGCTGCTTGCGCCGGCCGGCCTTCTTGGGCGAAGGAGCCTTCGCGGGCGCGATGAGAGCGCCTGCGGCGGGCGCGTCGTCCTCGGGAGGGCCGACGTGGCTCTCTCCCGCAACCATGAGCCGCGCCCACGCGCGGCCGTCGTCCGCCGAGTACGCGTGCGTCGCTCGCTGCACGACCTCCGTACTCGACGGCCACCACGCTCGTCGCGGCGCCGCGCGCGCGTCGTCCCGGGGCCGCGTCCGCCGCGCGCGGAGCATCACGCGCCCAGGGTGTTGCGCGGGGGGGGGCGGCGCGGCCTGCGTCTGCCCGTAGGTGGGCGTGTGGGGCTGGCAGGGCGACACGGAGGCCGTGGGGGGGTTGGACGGGCCGTTGGTGGCCGTGGGCGCCTCGTGGCGCGACCCGTAGGCGTCCTGGGCGCTGGGGCCGTGGTCCGTCGCCTGCGTCGATGCGATGTCGCGCAGCGCCGCCTCGCACATGTCGGTGTTGCCTCCGACGGACTGCGGGCAGGGAGGGGACGCGATCGGGGGCGTTCGTCCGGGTTCACGGCGGGATACGGCGCGCACAAGCACAGCATGGCAGAGCAGGCGCTCGCGCGGCGGAGGGCGCACCTCCCAGACCATGGCGACGATGTCGGGCTCGAGCCGCTTCTTGTACAGCTCCTGGAGCTGCTCGAGGCGCGGCACCGTCATCGTGCGCGCATGGATTGCCTTGCGACCGTCCAGGTGTGCACCGGAGTTTCCGGCACTTCGACGCACACTTGGTGCGTGCGCGGACGGAGCTTGCTCCGTATCTGATCCGACGTCTCTTCAAGCACGCGAACTGCCACTCAGTGGCCTGACAGGGTCCCCAAGAAGACGAAGAAGCGACCAGGAAGTAATTTTTGCTGGCAGTAAAACAACGGAGTCTGTCGGGGGCGGATTTCCGGCGCCCGCGCCAGCTGCCTCGCGTGCGCGGTCCCTCGCGGGCCGCGTGTCGCGGCGCGCGCCGGCCGCGTGCGCGGGCGGTTTCGCGGCACCAGCGGGGGCCGACATGGCGACAAGAGGTTTCCCTTCTGTGGGTGGATTCTGAAACATACCGACCATGTGTGCGCCCCCGGGTCGCACGCGCCGCCTCGCCGCTGCTGCGGTCCGCACGCGCCGTTCGGGGACACGGCGAGCGAGGGCCGGCGCCGGAGGTCTCCGGGCAGGGTTCGGACACGGGGCAAGATGCAACTCCGGGCAGTCGAGGGGTGATGCAGGGAATGACTATCGAGGATTCACGACTGCCGCGCCCTCTCGGCCCCGGCCGTCCAGGTGCGCCCGCAGCAACGACGCGCGGCCCGCCGGACGAGCCGCCCTCGCACGCCCACCGTGCGCAGCACGGAAACGGGCGCGTTTCGCGGCAGGGCGCGAGGGCGCAGCGAACAAGCAGTGTCACGGTCCAGGTGACCGCATGAGACGTCGGCCGGCGGTCCGTCACATGGCGCAGCTGGGCCTCCTACGCGATGCCGCGCGCCGCGGGCTTCGTTGCGATGCCCAGGCGCGCCTCCATGACCGAGTGACCGTCCGGCTGTGGGCACGGATCATCCTCCTTCCGGTTGAGAACGTCTGCGACGAAATACACGCAAAAACCTTGTCAGCAGGCAGAAACTCGAGAGCAGAGGGCCGTCTTTGGGCGGAGCCGGCGGCGTGGGGCGCCGTGAGCGGGCAGGTGGTGCAGGTGGCTCTGGGTGCGCGTCGCGCGGCGTCGCACGGGCGTTGCCGTCGGGCTGGTGCGGCGGGCGAGCACCTGAGATGTCGATGGTGTCGAGCCTGCCCGTGGCGGAGTCGAGGCCGAGCTTGGAGCCCGCGTCCGCGAGCCCGGGAAGCCGCGTGGGCCTCGAGAGGATCTGTTTCTCCATCTCTAGGCGCGCGGGGAGCGCGAGGCCGTAGATGTTGCGCATCTGGTCGAACTTCTGGCGCGGCTCCGCGGCCTGCTGCGCGGCGAGCGCCCTCTGCGAGCCACCGAGAGGAACGAGTGTGCGCTGAGCCGGTGCGCGGGCGCTGGGAGCGTGCGCGCGTCCGAAACGACGAGATCCGCGATCGAGCTGAGCCGCGTGGACCGAAATCCGTGCGTTCATGGCGCGTGGGGCGGCCGAGGGCGCGCGAGCGGGCGTCGGAGCAACTGCAGACCTGCAGCGGGTGGAAGGCCTGGGCGTCCTGCTTGTACGAGGGCAGTCCTTGCCGCAGCGAGTCGTGCGGCACAGCTAGCATGGGCATCATGTCTGCCATCCCGGGACCCGTCGGCCCCGACGGCCCCCCCGCTGCCATGACGCTCTGTCCCGTGCTCCTCGCAACCACAACCGACCTCGAACCGTTTCTCCGCACACTCTACAAGCTGCGCCAGTGCCCGCAGGTCCCCACACTACGGCGCATGTACCGGCGCCGCGCGCGAACGCGGCGCATCGTGCGCGGCCGCCCACTGTCGTGCAACGCGCCCCACTCCCCCACCACGCCGTTCGCACACACGCACGGAACCCGAGACCCCGCGCAGCCGTCCACCCAACGCCCCTAACCACCCCACACACCCCCCGAACCCGATCCCCCCTCGCAACAAGAAGAACTCGCTCACATCACTTGTCTCGCGACCCCTTCTTCTTCCCGCCCACCTTGAGCGCCACCGTCTCGTGCACGACGGGCTCCGGCTCCGGCTCCGGCTCCGGTTCCGCCGCCGGCGGAGCCTCCGCTTCCCCCCCCTGGCCAGGCACGCTCTCCCGCGCCCCGGGCGACCCCGCCCCCTCCTCCGCCCCCTCCTCCGCCCCCGCCTCGCCCTCCGCCTCCCCCTCGACCGCATCGTCCTCCCCGCGCGCCTCGGCCTCCACCATGACCATCCCCAGGTCCTGCTTCGACGCCGCCGCCAGCTGCCGGGACGAGTGCCCGCGGTAGTGCGCCTGGATGATCGTCGCCGCCTCCTCCTGAGTCATCTCGTCCGCGAGCTTGTAGCTGCGGTCCTTCAACTGCGAAACCACCGCACGCGCGAACACTGCAGCGGTGACATTCACGTACACACAACACTGCGCGAAAGGCGCGCTCCCGGCCGCCGAAACCCGCCGTTCGGGCCGCAGCTACGCTGCCAGCGTCCAGCCCGAGCAGCGAGCCGCCAAGCTGCGGCGCGGGCACGTCGGCCGGCGCCGCACACGCGCAGCGCAGTGGCGGTAGCGTCGCGGGGGTCGGGCACGCACCGCGCCCTCCTCCTCGACCGCGCAGATCATGAGGTACACCCTCGGCTCGTCCATGTACCGCAGCTTCTCCGTCACCTCCTCCCGCAGCTCCTCCAGGTGCGCGACCTCGCGCTCCCGACGCCGGCACTCGTGCTCCCTGGCGCGGATGGGCGCCAGCTGCCGCTCGAGGTCCTTCACGAGCAGCGTGAGCCGCCGCACCTCCATGTCCTTCTCCTGCAGCGCCTCCTCCGCCTCGGCGCGCGCGGCGGCCTCCTCCGCCTTGGCCGCCTCCGCAGCGCGCAGCGCCTGCCGCTGCGCGCGCTGGTCGACCGCGCGCGCCTTCTCGAGGACGTTGACCTTGGCCTGGAGGTTCCTGTTGTCGCTCTCGAGGTTCGCTACCTTGGCTGCGAGGTCCTGCTCCTCGGCAACCTTGTCCTTGTTGACGCCGGCCTGCTCCATGAGCCTGCGAGCCTCGTCGCGCTGCTGCTTGAGCTTGTTGATCTGCTCCGACTGCGACGCCATCTGCTTCTCCTGCGCCTTGACCTCCCCGCGCAGCTTGCGCACCTGCAGGGGCGCGCGCGCGGGCGCCGGCGTTGGTGGGGCCTGCACGGCGCTGGGCGGCGCGTGGCGCGGCGCGCGAGCCGGCGCGGCGGCGTACCTGGTCCTTGAGCATGCGGTTGTCCTCGAGCGCCGCGCGGACGCGCGGGGGAAGGTCGGCTCCTTCCGAGAGTTGGAAGTCTATGTCCTTGAAGACTGTTCGCTGCACTTTGCCTCCCTCACTCGCCTTGAGCTCCCGTTCGAGCTTCCGCTTCTCCCGCTTCAAGTACTGCGGCACGGCGGACGGTCGCGGGCGCGCGTGAGGCGCCGGGGACGCCGCGAAACGCCGCCACGGCTCCACATTCTGCCCGCGGGAGACCGAAGACGGCGCGCACGGGCGCGTGGAGGCCGTTCCCGGCCGGTGTGGGCGCGAACCGCGAGCTCGAGGGCGCCAGCGTGCGGGACCAGCGAGCTCGCGGCCTGGATAGCCCCGCAGCGGCGCTGGGCCCGCGCAGAAGCCCGCTGCGGACAGCACTGGCCCTTCGCCGCGCCACGCCGGGCCGGGTGCGGCACGCACGGCTCGGCAACGCACACGGGGAGCCTGATACAGCAAGGTCTGCGCCTGGGGCGCGCGGTCACGGCGCGCGCGGGGCCGTGCGGGCCCAAACGGCCGCCACATGCACGTCTGCCCGCGCAGGGGCTCCCGGGCTGGTGCGGCGGCCCCAGGGTCCGGGGGGGGGTTTTGACGCGCGGGGGCGGCGCACCTCGAGCTCTTCCTGCGCGCCCGCCGCGCTCTTCTCGACCTGGACCATGTAGTCTTGCAGTTCGTGCAACAGAGCCATAGACTTGACTGTCGCCATATGGTTGCCGTGCTGGATCTTGCCCTGGAGGCTGGGCGAGAGCGGGGCGCCGCGCGGAGCTATGGTGTTGGTGCCCGCGTCGCCCGTGGGGGCGACGTCGGCCATCGTGGGCGCCCTGGCCCGCTAGGCGATCGCTGCCCGAGTGAGCTGGCGCTGAAGCGCGGCCGCACGCGCCGCACGCTGCACGAGCGGGGCTCTCGCGGCGCCGGGGCGACGGTTCGCTATTTCACGCGCCAAAGTGCCTGGTCGCGGTGCGGCGAATCGCAGGGGTCGGCGCAGCGCCGGTGCTATGCGCAACGGGACGCTGTGGGTCGCGCCAGAGTCCTAGCCGCGCCACTGCGCTGTGCGCGCGGTGATTTCGCGAGATATCTACTCGAAACGCAACAGTTGGACGCGGCCCGCGATCGCGCGCGGCAAACTCGACGCCACGCGGGCGTCGCAATGTCCGACTCCTCCCCGTCCGACTGCACCGCGCCACGTCCTTCCCCGGGCCCTTCCCGAGCCCGCCACGCATCGCCCTGGCATCGGCGCGTCCACGGAGCGCGAATCTCGGCGCGGCGCCCGTCGCGCCGTGCAACGCGTGTCGTGCAACGTTGGCGCGTCGCACACGGCTTCTCTGCGTCTCCCGAAGCCGGCCAAAAACTGCGCCGAAGCCGCGCTGACGGGCGGGCAGACGTCGCGGTAGGCGAGGCGCGGGCCTGCGTGCTGCCCCGTGCGCGACGCGGCGCCCTACGCATATGCGATCAGATCGCACACGTGTCATACCTCCGCCCTGACTCATTCAGTCCGTCGTTCAGGTCCGCCGTGCGCCGCAAACCAGCCCCAGGCGTGCGCGCGGCCATCCCGACGCACGCATCGTGCACGGAACCCCGCGGCTGGTCGTTCTCTGCGACAGCGGGCGCAGTCCTCGCCATGCTACAGGCCGCACCTCAGCCGAGGCCCGTCGCACCCACGCGGCTCCCAACCGCCCCCACGCACCGCGCACACAGCCCACACATGCGCAACAGCCACTCAACCCCAGTCACGCTACAGCGGCATGCCTCACACACGTGCCCGTCCAACTCCCCCGCCCCGGGCGGCCCGTCCGCAGCCCGCACGGCCCGCGCCGAGCAACGAACGCGCTCCTCCGACGCCGCGCGCGTCACGAGTAGGTCACCGCGGACTCGTACGTCGGCACCATGTATTTGATGTTAATGAAGGCGTCCTCGCCGCCCCGCTGCTCGAACAGCGCGAGCGTGTCCGAAATGAGCTCGCCCAGACAGTCGTAGTTCTTCTGACCGTAGTCGATCTGGTCCCCGAGGTTCTGCGGACGCAGCGCGCGCGGGGGGGGGGGTTGGCGGACTGTGCATGCGCGGGCGGGGGAGGGAGGTGGGCGCGTGCGGCGGAGGCGCCGGAGAGCGCGACGGTGGCGCGGTGCGTCCAAGCGTCGAGGCGGGTCGCATCAACGTGGCTCAACGCGCGCGCGCGCGCGTGTGTTCATGTAGTGTCGGTGGGCGGTGCTGTGCCGCGTTCCCGAGCGCTGACTGGACGTGCAGCGGCTCCGCGAGGGAGAGGCGTTTCCGCCCTGCCGTCCTGGTTGCGCGCGCGATTTCAGACTTGTTTTCCTATTTGTTGCGCGCACCTTGTTCATATTCTTGTACAGGTTGAAGATGGGGAGGATCTGGCGGTAGTACGGCACGAGCGCCTCGCCGACGAGGTCCGCGGAGATCACGAGCTTCTGCAGGAGCCGCAGCGTGATGCACATCACCTCGGGGTCCCGCGTGTTCAGCGCCGTTTTGATCGGAATGATCAGCTGCGGCACCACGGGCAGGATCTTGGCGCCGCCCTCGCGCAGGAGGTCCTCGACGCCGCGGACCGACAGGAACCGGTACGGGTCCTCCTTCTCGCGCACGCCGTCGAAGAAAATCGGCAGGTAGTGGTGGTAGTCGAGCCGCTTCGGGTCGACCTTCCACTTGATGGCGTTCTTGACGCCGCTGTGGTCGACCGACACGGGGAGGTCGCCGCGCTCGTAGAAGGTGCGGAAGGCGGTGTTCGGGGGGTTCGAACGGCGCGAAAACGCGCCCGCCCTGGGCGGCGACGGCCGCGGGCGGCCGTCCGGAGACGTGGCCACGAGGCGGCCGGTCCCGGGCGCGATACCGCCGCCACGGCGCAGGTAGTCTGAGGGGTTCGGCCGCTCCGTGGGGAGCTCATACGAGAGCGTGTCCTTGGACCACCTGCGGGGCGCGGGGCGCGCGGGGCGCTTCGGGGACGGCTCGCGACGACCGCGCAGGCTGCGGGGCCAACGGCACGCGAATGCGGGCGCGCACGGGGCCGCCGCGGCCGCTTCGGGCCAGGAGTCGGCAGATACGATGATGCGCGATGCGCGCGCGGCGGAAACAGGACGGATCCGGCGCGGTGCAGCGCGGACGACGCGGCAGGTGCGCTCCGCCAGCATGTGCCCTTCTGTACCCGGCGAGCGGGCGCGCGGCCGGCCCGCCGCGCCGCCGTGGATCGATAGCAGGTGGTATTTTGGGCCCGGGCGCGGCGCGCCGAGGCCAGGAAAGCGCGCGCGGCGCCGGGAGCGCCCGGTTTGTGCGGGTGGTGGCGGCAAGGGGTAGGACGCACCGTGGGAGCACGAGGTTGCGCGGGAGGGACTTGTGGGCGCCCGCGCGGGCGTCGTTGGGCTCGCTGGTGTCGAAGCATGACCCGGTCTCCTGCGGCGTCGGGTCGGCAGGCTTGCCTGCGAGCGACATCATGGAGACATGGATTTTGGGGCTCTACATGCGGCGTGATTGGCGGAACAGGTAATCGAAGCCACCGGAACGAAGCTTCATGATAGGTTCGTGCGTTGCGGGGCGCCGCGGGGCGGCTCGGGTGCGTGGGGCGACGTGGCGGCGGGAAATTGGTGTCCAGAGGTGCATTGGAGCCTTTGGGAGGCCCGCAGCGTCGCATGCGGGCATCGTTTGGGACGTTTCGCGATGCTGGTAGGTGGTGCGGAACTTGGAGGGGCTGTAGGGATGAAGAGGATGGCGAGGGGGCCAGGGACGGCTGCGCAGCTGCTAATAAAAGGCGCCATGCACGGACCTGCGATCTTCGTGGTCCGGTACGTGCTCGTGAGGAGCGTTCCGGCGACCTCGGGGAGGAGATCGGTCATTGTCGACTTCAACCGGCGCGGGGCTGGGCGCCTGGGTGTGCTCCTCGGAGACGGCGACCGGACCTGCTAGCCGAGCGCCGAGAGCCGGCCAGGGCGCTCCGATAGGCAGGTTCGGGCGATTCTGACGACACGCGCAAAAAGTTCCTCAGGCCCAACGCGCGCTCTGCCGCGGACGCGCAGCGCGACCCCCCGACAAGCCTGCGAGCGCCGACGAGCGATTACGTCCCCCTCTGCCGTCCAACGGGGCCCCTGCGCCCGCCCGTCGCCGCACGACGCGGCAGTCCAGCGGAACCAACAACATGCATTTACGCCGTGCGACGACGCTGTCACAGCGGCGCAGCCGACGCGTATCCAGCGCGCGACTCCGTGAAATGCCATCCACACAACGCTACCTGCCAGACCCGGGCCCGACCTCCTCCTGATCCAGCGACCCGCGCCCGAGGCCCTGTCCGCTCAGATCAATGCCTGCAGCGCACAATTCCGCAAAACACGCCCGTCTCAGCCCTGTGCGGGGGGGGCACCTGAACAGCGCATGCAGCGCCACCCACCGCGGGCGGGGCGGCGCGCGGCGGCGCGGACGCACCTGGCAGAGACGGCGTGCCGAGCCGGGGCGCCACGGGGGCGCCGTTCTCCTTGTACACGTCCGGGGCGCGGCTGACGTTGGTGTCGAGTTGCGGCCACTTCGGCGAGTTGCGGAACAGCCGTCCGCGGTCCGTCTCGATATCCACGTGCCGCACGCCTGCGCACGATCAAGAACAACACACGCACCGGTCGCGCCGATGCGTTCCGAGACACCCCCCCCCAAAAAACGCGTGGGAGGCAAACAGTGGCGCAGGCGCGGTGTCGCGTCGTGCACGCACCCGGCACGGCCTTCTTGATGCACGACTCGATGCGGTCGATCTCCGCGCCGTTTGCGCTGATCACGCCCGACCCGAACTCCCGCAGGAGCTGCTCCAGCCGCCAGTTGCCCTCGGTGCCCCCCGCCTCGCAGGCCTTCCGGAAGCGCGCGAGCGTCTCCTCGCGCCCGTAGTGCTCCATCAGCCGCGACACGATCTTGTCCCCGCTGAACTCGAGCTCGGCCTTGAACCGGTACAGCCCCGGCCCTATCTCCTCGGACTTCGTGTCGTAGACAGCGGCGACGACGTCGTCGCGCCGGAGGACGTCCAGCACGGCCTGGCGCTCCTCGGGCGACATCGCGCGCCCGATCAGCGCGTTGCGGTTCGTCTGGATGAGGAAGGTCGCGGTCGCGCACAGCAGCGCGCCGACGATGACCGAGCCGGCGGCGTCGTAGGCCGTCACGCCCGTGACGTGCGACGCGATGGTGCAGGCCATCGCGACGGACGCGCCCGTGACGGCCGCGGCGTCCTCGAGCAGCACGGCCGCTGACGTCGGGTCCCGGCCCTTGCGTAGGTACTGCAAGACGCCCATGTTGGCAGCGCGCGCACCGGTGCGGACGTCCTTGAGCGCGACGCTGAGGGAGTAGCCTTCGACGAGCGTGGACACGAGGAGCACGCCGATGCCCGTCGCGAGGTGCTCGAGCGGCGCGGTGTGGCTCAGCGCCTGCAGGCCGTGCGCGATAGAGATGCCGCCACCCAGGCAGAAGACGGCGACGCCGGAGATGAGCGACCAGACGAACTTGTCCTTGAGGTAGCCGTACGGGTGCTGCTGCGTGGGCACGCGCCGCGCCGCGCGCACGCCCTGCGGAGGCGGGGAGGGGGGGGGAGTTCGTGGGGTGTGTGAGGCGCGGGCGCGCGTGGCGAGGCGTGCGTGCGCGGCGCGGAACCCGCGCAGGCCGCGGGCGGCAGGCGCACGGCGCGACGTGTCCGTGCGACAGAGAGCGTGGTGCGGCGCGCAACATAAGCTAGCCCGTTGCGTGTACATGCACTGCGCTCGCAGCAGCAGCCCCGGCACGCACGCACGCGCACGGGTCGTGGCGCGTGCAGAGCCAGAGCCGCACGGGGCGCGTTCGCGCGTTTCTTCGTGCATTGCGCGCAACAGGGTGGGGGGAAGGGGGGGTGTCTCTTGCGCGCCCGGCGCGCCGCGGGCGCTCCGCCGCCGCGCACCTTGAGCAGCAGGACCTGGTTGAAGACGTCCACGACGGAGTGGATCGCCTCGGCGGCCATCGACGAGGAGCTCGTGTGGCCCCACGCCAGGAGCTTGGCGATGAAAATCACGATGTTGGCCGTGATCGCCACCTGGATCGTGTGCTCGCCCGCGCGGTGCCCTCCGCCGCCGCCGCCGCCGCCCGGGCTCGCCCCGTGCGGCGGGTCCGGCGCAGTGCGCGTGAGCGTGCTCACCGTGCGCAGTCCGTTGCCCTCCGCGCTCGGATTGTCCGGCGGGCGGTCGCTCTCGTCTCTCCACTGCGGGAAAAGTCCAGAAGAAGACGTGCGGCGTGAGTTGGGAGGGTTCCGGGCCGTGGAGCGGCCGGAGAGGGTGTGTGGGGCAACGGAGACGGGCCGCGGCGGGCGGCTTCGGGGCGAACGGGCGCGCGGGGCGCCTGGGAGGCGAGTCAGATGAGAGGGCGTGCGTTTCGGAGGTGCGCTGCCCGGGGCAACGCCGCTGCGCGGGCGTGGGGCCGGCTAACGGCTCAGATGAGGCAGGCGGACGGTTAGCCGGCCGAAGCGCACTCAGCGCGCGTGATGAGGGTCCGCGGGCCGTCCCACGGTCCGCACAGTAGCGATACAGCGCGGGGGGAGGCGGGTCGGGGTAGCTGACGCACCATGGATCCGACGCCGGCTGATTTGCTGTGGCAGACCTGAGCAGCTCCCCTGGGCTGTCCCGCTGGCGTCGTTTCGAGGGCGCCCCGGCCGCCCCGGTGGATGAACCGGGAGAGGAACGTCCGCTCGTGCCCGGCCGGGGGCGCACTCGCGCGGATCCGGCACGCAGCGACCTCGAAAGCAGGCGCCGGTGCTTCAGCGCCGTGCCCCGTCGCCTCCCGGGCGCGCAGTCCGCCCTGCGCACCCGCAACGACGAGACTGCGCAGCCCAAACTGCCGCCAGGGCCCCGTGGCCGGCAGAGCCGCAGGTCTGACATGCCAGCTGCGTGATGCCACTGCAGGCTGATTCGCGACGTGCATGCTCCGCTGGGGCGCCGTGGCGGGCGATGCGCGCCCGCTGTCGGTCCTCACGGATCTATCCTTGCCGTACGGGCCAGAAAAAGTGTGCGAGATCCCCCGCCCGCGCCCGCAAACGCCCTGGGAGACGAGGCGTGGGACCGCGGCAGGCGCCAGGACCCGAGCCAGCTCCCTGCCGCAACTCATCCTGCTGCGGTGCGACGCGCGCGCGGAAGCCACCTCCATTCCCGTCTGACGACCCTGCCGGTCGGAGAGGCCCGCCCGCGGTCGGACACCCGCCGCACCGCGCGGACGAAGCTCCGTGTGAGGCTTGCAGGCGAGCGCCGAATACGGACTCGAGTTGAGAGGAAACGTGACGAATACCGCTCAGGAACCTCGTGCGGTACAGCGACGACGAGGTTGTGCGCCGCGCCGGCCGCCGCGGGCCCCGAAGCGCCCGTGCGAGCGCGTTTCAGGCGGGCCAGCAGGATGGAGTTCTACTTCTGGGTACTCGGGGGTCGTTTCCGGCGCCCCGGCCGGCTCCATCGGGCCGGAAACCAGCCACGGAGCAGCACTGATGCCGCGCCATGGCCCTGGGCCGCTGAAAAGACCCACACAACGCGTTCAAGCGGAGCACCGGCCGCAAAACGCAGCAACGACCCCTTCCAGGCTCTCTCAGCGGGCACCGCCGCTCGCTCCCGCCGTGCCAGGGCCGTTTCATCGGCGCACCGAGCCGCACTGTTGACGTAGTCGACGTAAAGCTCCGGAAACCGAGCTGCTGGCCCCACACGGCTTCGCCCAGTGACCCCAGGGTGGACCTCCTGCAAGATGACGTACAGCTTTCCGCTGCTGGACGCGAAGGAGATTCTCGGGTGCCTCGCGGAGCTCGATATCAACCTGAGCCCCGAGAACCTCGAGAAGCCCTCCTACGAGACCCTGAAGCCTATGTACGAGCAGCTCGTGATGCTCCTGGTTGGAGTCACACGGTGCGCCCCCCCGCCGCGCACGCGGCCGCAACGCGGCCCGTTTTGCGTGAAATCGCTCGGGGACACGCTCAGACGTCCGCTCGGGAGCGGAAGACGGTGTTTCGAGGCCGGGGGGTGCCGGGGAGGGCGCCAGATGGGCAGGTTCGCTCAACAATTGGGTGAGGTGGCAGGGAGGGGCCGGACGGCGTGCCACGTGGGCCGCGGGGGCGGTCCGGGCCGCCCGGGCCTCGCGCGGCAGCCAGGGCACGCGGCAGCGGGCGCGTTGCGCGGAGGCGGCCGGGGGCGGGGCCGCGCGCGACCGCCGCGCCACGGCTGCGCGAAATCACCCCAGCCAGCTGGCCGCGGTTTCCGCGGCCTGCGTCGCTCCAGCGCGACTTTCTCTGCGCTCTCTCGACGAACCATGCCTTGTGCTACGCTCTGAGTTCGCGTGACGGCCGGAGCGGCGCGAAACAGGCGCCTGCGTGGCGTTGCTCGTGCAGAGAGGAGCTGCAACAGCCCGTGTTCGCGGCGATCGACGCGTTCGAGTTCCCGGAGCTGCACGACGAGTCCATTCCCGTCATGGCGTTCGGGCGCGCGCTCCAGAAGCTCATGTTCGCGGCCGGGGCGCATGACTTCTCCCTCAAGGCGCGCCTCCCTCCCCTCCGTCGCGTTCCCACGCAGCGCGGCTCCTACGTCGGTTCCCACGGCTCCGCGCCGGCTCCCGCGGCCGCGTACCGGCGCCCAGGGCCGGCTCGCGACCGCAGAATGTGCCCCGGCGCGTGTGCTCGCAGGACGTGTACAAAGCGACGCGCGAGCGCACGGTGCGGAACCTCTCCGCGATCATCAACTTCGGGAAGTACCGCGAGGAGCGCCTCCAGACGTTCCAGGCCTTCCAGGAGGAGGCCGACGCGCGCGCTGCGCAGCGCCAGGCGCTCGTGGACGAGGGCGACGCGCTGCGCGCGGAGATCGCGCGGCTCGAGCAGGCCCGCGCGGACGAGAAGCCGCGCGCCGCCGCCGTGCGCGCCGAGGTCGAGGGCGACGTCCTGCCGCGGCTGCAGGCACGCCCCCGCCGCCCGTGCCGCCTGCGCCGCAGCTGCACCCGGTGCAGTCACGAGACAACCCGCGCTCGCGCGCGGCCTCGTTCGCGCAGGGGCTCTTCGCGGAGAAGGACGGGCTCGTCGAGGAGCTGAAGCGCGTCCGCGGGACGGCGAACGAGCTCGCCTCGAGAGCGTCGCAACTAAAGCTGGACCTGGCGGAGGAGGGGCGCCGCGAGGACCGTTTGCGCGGGATGGTCGTGCAGAGCCCCGAGAGGATGCAGAAGGCGATCACGGAGCGCGAGTTCCAGCTCGAGCGGGAGCGCCAGGGCGTGGCGGCGGCCGAGCGGGCGCTGGTCGACGCCACGAACCGCCGAGAGGCGGTCGGGCGGGCGATGCGCGAGGCCGAGGGCGCGGTCAAGGCGATGGAGGAGCTCGAGGTCGGCATCGCGAAGAAGAAGGAGGTGCGGAACGCGCTGCGCTGCGTCGCGGCGGCGCTCGATTGAACCAAGGGTGTGCGTGTCGCGCTCATTCGAGGATCCTCGAGTGCGTTTCCCGCAGGTGTCCGGGCGCGTGAAGGACCTGCGCGCGAACATCGAGGCCGCGGACGCGCGCGTGCTCGAGCTGCAGGCCAGCATCCAGCACCTCGGCCGGCAGAAGGCCAGCGCCGCCGAGCGCTTGCAGCGACTCGAGGCGCAGTACAAGATGAAGCAGGCGGCCGCAGCGGCGACGCTGGAGCAGCAGCTATGCGAGAAGGAGGCGATCGAGGCGGCGAACGCGGCGAAGCACGCGCGCATCGCGGACAACGATGCGCAAGTGCGCGCGGCGCGGGAACAGGCGCGGGCGCTGGAGGAGGCGCACGGGGCGGCGAAGCGGGAGCTGGTGACGCAGTACCGGGCGCTGAGGGCGCAGCTGGGGCGGTACGTGGCGCTGAACCGGGAGGCGATGGGCGCGGGGGTGGAGGGCGCGGAGGCGATGGCGGCGGAGGCGGCGCTGGCGGTCGCGACGCCGGCGCCGCGGCGAGGGCAGCTGGGAGGGTTCTGAGTTGGGGGGTGGGTCGGCGCGGGACGCGCGTGTGAGCCGGGACGAGGGGTGTATCTGACCGCTCCCCTCTGGAGGTGTCGGGGAGGGGTGTTCGCGGGATTTGGGTCCGCGCGGCTGCAGCACGCGCAGGTCTCCGCCACCGTGGTTCGGAAGTGCGTGCGTGTGGGTCTTTTCGAAACGGCTCAGCGACAGAGCACTGGGACAACAACATTCGAACGTACGAAAAGAAGGCATCATACATGCCAGCGCCCTGGGAGCGTGCTGGGAGAAGGGCTTGCGCGGACCGCCGAGTGCGCTCGCATGCGCGCGGTGCGGCCCTCGAGGAATCCGGGCAGAACGGGAGACGGGGAATCTCGACTGTTTGATCACAATTTGGACTGTTTGGGAGCCTTTGCCCCGCGCCCGAGGATCTGCTTGATGCGATCCGCGTTCCGCGGGTCCAGGAAGAACGACGACGCGTCCTGCGCGATCCGCAGCCCCTCCGCGGCCACGTCCAGCGCGAGCTGACTCAGGCGTTCCTTCTTGTACCCGGCGCGGGGGGCGTCAGGGTGTGCGAGCATGGGCCGTGCGGCCGCGACAGCGCGCCGCAGCACCGCGTCCGGCCCGCAGACCTCCTGCACCAGCCCCACGCGCAGGCACGTCGCGTCGTCCGCCTGCGGGAGCCGTTCCCACGAAACACGGACATGTTACAAGTTCGCTCAACAGATATGAAATCAGGTCTGTTGCTGTGCGGTTCAGACAGGGAGTTGTGCGTACCAGCGCGGCGCCGAGACAGAGCCGGTCCGCGGCCGCGTCGCCCACGAGCCGCGCCATGAGCACCGCCCACGACACGGGCACGCGCATGCCGAGCTGCAGCTCGTTCAGGCCCATCCGCGACCCCTCCGTCATGACCCTGACATCGCAGCACATGGCCATCATGCATCCGCCCGCCGCGCAGAACCCGCGGATCGCGGCGACGGTCACGAGCGGCGTCACGAGCAGCCTGGCGTACCAGTCGGACAAGAGGTGCGCCATCTGCCGCAGGTCGTCCTCGGAGCGGGCGGCCGCTAGCTCCTGGAGGTCCAGCCCGGCCGAAAACACCCCCCTGCGGCATCGCGTGCGCGGAAACGGACCGTGCTGTGCGGTTATGATGTGTATTCGCGATAGGGTGCTCGGTATCTATGATTCAGGGTCTGAGCGCGGTCCGACGAGACGGGGAGGTGGTGCAAGGGGTGGTTGGGCAGTCCGTGCGGCACGACGAGGACTGCGGTTGTTCGGGCTCACCTGGCGGATGGGACCGCTGCGATGACGATTGCGCGGATGTCGGGGGCCTTCTCGGCGAAGGTGAGGGCGCGGTTGAGGTCTGAGAGCAACGGGGAGCCCAGTGCGTTCACGGGAGGTCTGTCGACGCGCAAGACGCATATCTCGGGGCTGCTGAGGAGTCGCTCGAGACGCACGTACTTCCAACTAGCCCCCTGCACCACCTCAGTCTGCTCGTCGGCCATCCTCGACGAGCCCTGCGCCGAGACGGTGCTGCGCTGCAGCTTGTGCGCGTCTGGCGGGGCACGAACAACATAAATACGGTGCTTGGCACCACGACTGGAATGAATGTTACTCTGTCTCTCTTATCATGCCACGAAAAGGCTATCCTGATGGTTCTACGTGCGTGTGAAACCAGTTCCCACCTGCTTCCTAGATATACTGCCCCGCGCCGACAACGACGCCAGTCCCGCTTCCCAGCCGGCCTCCAGCACGTAAAACACGACACGGAATCCTAGTCCAGCACCTACGACCGCGCGGCCCGGCTTCCTGAAAGCCCAGCGCCACCGGAAGCACCCGGCAATGACACCTCTACGGAACCCGGCGTTGCGGGCAGCGGAGTCGCTCGTCACGTCCTGTCGATGCAAGTGGATGTGCGCTGCCGCGCCCCGAACCGCGCCAACATCCCGCCCCGGGTCGTCCCAGGCTGACACGTCTTATTCTACCACCTCAGAGTCACCCTCAACCTCTGGAAGGCCACTGCGGCGAGGGCGCGACACGTACGCCGGGCGCCCGGACGTTCGTCGCTCCAGGAACCGCACTGCTGCGCTTTGCAGACCCGACAACGCGCATGGTTGCCGAAAGTGAAGACAAATAAGATGTTGAGGAACATCTTTTCGCAGGCACCTGCACCTGCCTGAACCAACCGGCAGCCCGCGGCTCCGTCACCGAGCGCCCCGGACGTATCGTTCCGCCATCGTTCGGGTCGGATCACAACAACAACGCCTCGTGTCAACCACAAATCATGTCAACAGGTGTGATCGCATTCGATCAACCGTAGTCGTCGAGGCTGTCCACGCTCCCCGCCTCCAGCTCGATCTCCACGCGCCCCCGCACCGCCCCCGACATGTCCAGCTCCTCGTCCGACGAGTCCATCCTGTTTCCTCGCTGGAACAGCCTGCGCGGGATCGAAAGCGCCCCCAGCATACTTGACCCGATCGCCGACCCGCGGGCCACGTTCCCGGCCGGGGCCGCGCTCCTCCAGGGCACGACCTCGTCCTCCGGGTCGCGCGACGACTTCCCACGCTTGACCCAGCTCAGAGGGCGTATGAGACTTGAATCAGTATCGTTCTCTCTCCGATTGGCAGAGAACTCGCTCAAACGCGAGACCGGCCCCCTCGGCTGTCTCAGGACGACCGTCTTCTTCTTCGAGAACGTCGACGGCTTCGCGGAGATGCGCTCCTGGACCGCGCGCGACGGCGCTGCGGCAATGGACCCCGCTGCGCCGCCGCGGCGCGCCGTTTGCCACGAGAACGCGGTCTGCGCGCCGGACAGGCGCTCGTCGACGGTGCCGACCCACGACGTCACGCGCGAGAGCCTCGCGCGCTCTTCCTCGCTGTCGAAATCGTCCACGCCCTCTGACAGCCGCGGGAGGCGCGCCACCTCCACGTCGCCCACGACGAGGTCGCCGCGCAGGAACCACGGCTGCCACGGCGCGGCGGGGCGGTCCGCGACCATGCCGTGGTTCGAGCGGGTCACGGTCTCGCGGATCGTGGTCAGGCAGCTCATGCGCGCCGTCTCTCGCAGCCGCAGGTGGTGGCGGTTGACGAAGCCGTACATGTCGTACCGGCTCCGACTGCGCAGCACAACGACGACGGCGCAGCGCGACTCAGTTCGTGTCTCGCGTGAGGCGACGATGTCGTTCGTGCGGTCAGCAACGGGGGTCGTGCGGGACGCGTACTTGTCGTGGGGGGGTACGAAAAACTCCCCCTCCTTCGGCCCGGGGACCTTCCGCGGGGTGCGCGACGCCAGCGGCCCCGGCTGCGCCACGCGCGGCACGCCCTCCCGCAGATACGCGGCGTTTTCGTCCACGTACATAGTGCGCATGTTGTGTGCGAACTCCCGCCGCCGGGCCTGCCACACGCGCCGCGCCACCTCGCTGTCGGGGTCCAGGCGCGGCTGCGCGCCCTTCGTCGCCAGCTCCACGACGCGCTGCAGCAACGTCTTGCGCGATGGCGATGACGCGTCGGTCTGGGAGGCGCCGTTGCAGGACTGCGCGGCGCTCACGCTTTCGAAGACCTCGGTGCCGGAGTTCGCGACCCTGACTGACTGCGTCGCCGTGCCGCTGAGCCGCCGCGACCCCGTCTTGCTGGCGCCGCGGTGCATCGACGCTGGCGGAGGTGGATCGAGGCACGCCACGTTGAGGACGCGCTCAATGGGGCTGTCGAGGCGCAGGTGCAGCTCGCGGAACTCCTGCGCGATGGCGCAGGGGCTGCAGAAGCAATGCACGAGGCAGTCGTGGCATGGTATGACGAAACAAAACCGCGCGCTGCGGATGCCGTATTTGCGCCGCAGCTGCCCGCGGCTCTTGCAGTTGCCAAGCGCCGTACAGCACAGGCAGACCGCGATGCCGACCGGCGGAAGCAGCCATCCTGCGAGCGACGACCGTCCGGGGACGCGGCGCAACGTGTGAGGTGTCCGCACGGCGGGTGCCCCACGTGCGAGTCGAGAGGGGACGCTGTGCGCGCGAGGGGGCCGTGCGCACCGACGACCCAGATCGGAAGGCATCTGAGCAGGTAGCTGATGGTGGCAGCCGCGCCTGTCTCGGCGTCCTCGGTGAGCATCTGCCGATTGCGGCCCACAGCCACGCACGGCAGGGTGGTGGCCAGCAGGGCCGACTTGATGCACAGCCACGGCTGCACCATGAGCGGGCACGGCCCGCCGAACGGCCCACATAGACCTGCGATGCACGGAAACACACCAACCATCAAACATATATCTACATTGCCGTCAACGCACACAATGCGTTTCCAGGCTCCCACCGCAACGGAAGCACGCACCTGTCGTCCACCGCCCGTCCATACTCTGCTCCACCCGCACCGGCCCGTCCGCCACCGCCGCCGTGTGCAACAGCCGCGGGTTCAACTGAACACCCCCCTCCTCACTCCCCACCTCCACCTCAACCGCGTCCACGTGCACCGCCACCGCATCCTCCCGCCCGTGCCGCACCTTCACGAGCACGGCGCACTGCGACGACGTTCAAGCGCACACGAAAACCCCCCTCCCCCACCCCCCCTCAGGAAAAGCGTGCGCGCAGAGCAGGGGGGCAGCGGCCGCACCTTCGGCCCGCACAGCCCCGACGCGACCGGCTCGCGCCGCAGCGCCACGTGGTGCGCGGACGCGTAAGGCTTCGCGTCCGGCGGCACTTCTTCCATCACTCTCCTTTCCGGGTCGTTCGGCACGTACGGCGCGCCCTGCACGACGCGGCCGGCCAGGTGGCCCCGCAGCTTCTTCTCCAGCTTCTTCCGCAGCCTCGACGCCCGCCGCTCGGCCACCGTGCACTGCACGCAGTCCTCCAGCGCCCGTCTCCTACGTCGCGCTTCCCGCCACTCATCGCCCAGCCGGAGGGGGTCACGGCCGTCCGGGAGCCGTAGGCGGGTGGCTCCGGGGGATGGCGGGGGCACGTCGCCTTCGGGGATGCCGGAGTCGCCGGAGAACCGTCCCACGAAGGTCTGAGCGTCGAGTAAGTGGAGGGGGGTGTTTTTGGTATAAGGGAGGTCGTCGTCGGACGCGCGGGAGGACCGGGCGGAGGGGAAGCTCTCGGGCTGGGTCGGGGAGGTGGCGCGCGCGGGTAGGGAGGCGCAGCGCTCGATCTCCGTTGAATGATTGGGCTCGAAGTGCATATGCCGGTCTGCGGTGGGAGAGGGCGGGCGGAGAAGGCGAGGTCGGGCGATTTCGCGGATTTTCATGATTGGTGGACGAATATTCTGTGGAACAACTGGAAATCGAGCGCGATATTTGCGGTGGTTGTGCACGTTCGGGGAGAGAATGTAGAAGGGAGCTCAACGCCACTTCTGGGGCCACCATGGTCTTTCACGGTCGTATGGGCCTCGCCTGCAGTACTCTCAGCTATGTTGCACTTGTCGGAGACACTGTCCTTCCCTGACGTGGCAGACCCACCCCACCCGAGCGCCTTCCAGACAGGCGCCATCCAGCTGGTCTCCGCGCCCGCCATGGTCGTCAACCTCCCTTGTTCAGCTGCTCATCCGACTGTCATACAGAATTTCTCCTGAAAGGGCAGAGATGCGCTGCGCTGTGCTCCGAACCGAGGCTCGCAGATTACTTCTTCCTCTCCAACTACCAAAAGGACGCCGCGCAAACGTGCCGCGCGGGGATCGACGCGGTCTTGCTCCCTCCGCGACGCCCAACGAGGAAGCGTCCACCTCCCGCTGGGTCACCTCTGGCCCACCGGCACGAATCGCGCCTGTGCCGTCCCCCTGATTGTAGGCCAACCTACACGACCCCTGGACGCGCCAGCCGTCCCGAACACGCGGTCGGGGGCGTCCCGCACGTTCCTCGTACACAGACTGCTTCCGCCGCTCGCCGCCGCGCCCCCGTCGGCCCCCCACGAGCCCAGACTTGTCTGTAAGACATCCCAGTGCCACAGCGATTAACCCCCCCACGCCTCGCAGCGGCCTCCTCGGGGCCCGTGCCGCGCCGCACGCGGCACTTCCGACGACCCTCGCCCCTGCCCGACCCTCCTTGGACAGCGGAACGGTTCGACCAGGCGGACGTTGGAGGCCCAGTCACCAGCATGGAGGCTCGCAAGGCGGGCTACGGCCCGCTGCCCGGGATGGTGAACCCGTCCTTCCTGACGCAGAACACCGGCGTGCCCGTCGCCAACAACTTGCAGTCGTACACCGTCGGCGCCAGGTGAGCGCGCGCTCCGCTGCGTCATGGCTCGGGCGGTTGGCCTCCGCGCCGCGATTTCCGGGGCGTTTCCGGCCTCCTCGCGCCCGCCTTCGTCGTAAACGGTCGTAAGTGGGCCGGACGCGTCATCGCACGGCGTCCCGCGCCCCGCGGTGTGCGCCGCGGCCCGGACGCCTGGTACCGACCAACTGACTGGCGCGAGCGTTCCCGCAGGGGCCCGGTGCTGCTGGAGGACACGCACCTCATCGAGAAGATCGCGCAGTTCGACCGCGAGCGCATTCCTGAGCGCGTCGTGCACGCGCGCGGCGCCTCGGCCAAGGGCTACTTTGAGGTGAGAGCTCCTGCTTCACAGCCGCCGCGTTTTCCGCGCGCACACGGCCGTTCGACCGCTCGACCGCCACCCGACGCGTAGCTCACGCATACACCCGGCCCTGACGGTCGTTTTCGGCGCGTTTCATCACCTGCAGGTGACGCACGACGTCACTGACCTGTCCTGCGCTGAGGTCTTCCGCGGCGTGGGCCACCGCACGCCCGTGATTGTGCGCTTCTCGACCGTGATCCACGAGCGAGGATCTCCGGAGACCCTCCGCGACCCGCGCGGGTTCGCCGTCAAGGTATGACGCCCCGCGACCCCCACAGAGCCCCCACACACACACGCACCGCGCTCTCCGCGCCCACGCCCGCCTCGGCACCGCACGCCGCGCCCGCGCACACCTCCCACACCCTCGCCGCCCCGCGCTCCCACGAGACCGCCAACCCCCCGCCCGATCCGCCCCCAGCCCCCCACCTCTTGCGCACCCTCCGCGCCCCGTCGCCGCGCAGTTCTACACGAACGAGGGCAACTGGGACCTCGTGGGCAACAACCTCCCCGTGTTCTTCATCCGCGACGGCATCAAGTTCCCCGACATGGTCCACGCGCTCAAGCCCAACCCCAAGAGCAACCTCCAGGAGGGTTGGCGCATCCTCGACTTTTTCAGCCACCACCCGGAGTCGTGCAACATGCTCACCTTCCTCCTCGACGACCTCGGGATCCCCTCGGACTACCGCCACATGGACGGCGCGGGCGTGCACACGTACAAGCTCCTCAGCAAGGCCGGCCGCGAGACGCTGGTGCGCTTCCACTGGAAGACGAAGCAGGGCGTCGCGTGCCTGGACGACGCCGACGCCGCGGTCGTCGGCGGCAAGGACCACTCGCACGCCACGCGGGACCTGTACTCCTCCATCGAGCGGGGGGAGTATCCCGAGTGGACGCTCTGCGTGCAGTGCATGGACCCGGCCGACGAGATGTCGTTCGGGTTCGACCCGCTCGACGCGACCAAGGAGTGGCCCGAGGCGACCTTCCCGATGCGCCCGATCGGGCGGATGGTGCTCGACAAGAACGTGGACAACTTTTTCGCGGAAAACGAACAGCTCGCCTTCTGCCCCGCCAACATCGTGCCGGGCATCGGGTACTCGGACGACAAGCTCCTGCAGTCGGTGCGCGCCCGCGCCGACCCGCGCGACACCGGCTCCGCATCGCCCGACACAACGCGACAGCATGTCTGCGTTTGACAGACGCAACCGACTCGAACGATTGTGCTTGCCCTGTGGCTCCTCACGTGCCGCCGCGCCGTGCTCGCGTGTACTTGCAGCGCATCTTCAGCTACGCCGACACGCAGCGGTACCGTCTGGGCGCGAACTACCTCATGCTGCCGGCCAACGCGCCGCGCTGCCCCTTCTCGCACAACCACCACGAGGGCGCGATGAACCACCGCGTGCGGCAGGGCGAGGTCAACTACCAGCCCTCGCGCATCGACGCCCCCGAGCACGCCCCGGCGTTCCCGGTCAGCCAGGCGGTGATGTCGGGCCCCCGCGTGAAGCAGTCGCTCCCCAAGGAAAACAACTTCCAGCAGCCGGGCGAGCGGTTCCGGTCGTGGGACCGCGCGCGGCAGGAGCGCTTCATCGGGCGGTTCTGCGAGTGGGCGTGCGACCCGCGCACGCCGGCCGCCGTCCGCGAGATCTGGGTCGGGTACTGGACGCAGTGCGACCGCGACCTGGGGCGGCGCATTGCGGAGCGCGTGCGCGGCGCGAGCATGATGCGGCCCGTGTCGGGAATGTAGCGGGCCGGCCGTCGCTGCGCTGCGCTGCGCGTGGCTGTGCGTGGCTGTCAGAGCCTGGGGCCGCTGTGACGTCTCGAGATGTCTTGGAGGTCGTTGCGGCAGCGTCCTCGCGGCCGGGGGATGCCTGCAGGTCAGAGAAGTGCAAATCAAAGCAGCTGATCCCGTGAAAGACGCCGGGTCATGTACAGTGCACACGTGCAGATTTACTTTCTTCTATTTTATTATCAAAACAGACCAAATAGGTCGTTTTTGTAGCTGTGGGGGTCACAAGCGCCAGAGCCAAGCGCAGGTCTGCGCCTCGCGATCGCGGGCGGCGGTGCCGTGAGTCCAGCTTGACGCGCCACGTGCTCTCTCTCTTGCGCGCACGTGTTTGTTTGACCAGCACCTGTGCGTGATCCGGAGCCGGCACGATGCTTCGCGCGGGCCGCCGTGAGCCGCTCGTCCGCGTGGGGCATGCCTTCCGTTCGATGGATTCCCAACTGCCGGCCGCTGCGCGTGTGCCTGCGCGCTCAGACAGACCAGGTCACAAACAGTCCCCCCTGGGGTCTCTCGGGGCGCGTGATGGGGCGTCGGAGCCCGCGTGCCGGCGCAGAAACGTTCCGCATACCGAGCGGCACACTCCGGTAGCATCGAGACCGCCACCGGCGACGCGTGCGGCCCGTCACGCCCACTGCAACCGCACGCCAGGCCTTGTTTCGTGCCGGACGGCGCCGCGCGGGGAAACGCGGCGGTTCAGCGCACCGACATCACATGGCATACCGTGCCCTGGCCTGCACGGGGAGAGCCGAGGCGCCCGGGCGCGTGGGTGGTGCGTAGACAGAGTCGTTTTCGTAGCAGGTGAATTCGTACCGTAGCTGGCGCGTGCAGGGCGCTTCCGGTCACGCAGCGCGCGGGAGCCGGGATGGCCGTGGGCGCGGAGGATGCGGCGGGGGCGCTCGAGCTCGTGCGCAAGATGAAGGTTGATGAGCTGAAGGTGCGCAGCATGCAAAGCAGCGCCCGAACGCAGCGAAGGATTCCGCGCGCGCACGGACGCGTGGGGGGGTCGCGGTCGCGCATCAGGGCGCGTTTGGTTCGTGGACGAGTCGTGAGGGTGGATTCTGCGCGCAAAATCGCGGTTTTGCGGCGTTCAGAGCGTCTGGTGCCGGCGTGCTTGTGTCGCAGCAATGCCTGGCGCAGGTCGGTGCGCGGCGCACGGGGATCAAGAAGCAGCTGCAGGAACGCCTGACGGATATCTTGTCGAGCAGCGCGGATGCGTACAACAGATCGCGCGCCATCCAAGCGGTGTTCACCGTCGCCGCCAGCTCCATGAGCGTCTCGGTTCGTCGAGCCGCCGTGGCTGCGAGCTTCAGGTCCGGCGCCGCGGCCGCACCGCAGGTACGCGCTGACCGCTGCGCTGCGCGGACCCGCGCGACGGCCCAACGGGCCCGCCCCGGCTCCTCCCGCCCTGCGTGGGCCCAGAGCGGGGTGCCTCGGATTTCCGTCGCGGCACGGCCGACGACCGGCGCGTCCGCGCCCCAGATCGACATCCACTGTACGAGGAAGGCTCTCGCGTCCCGGCGCGGCTGCGTGATGGAGCGCAACGCGCGCACCGCCGCGCGGAAGCCCACCCTGCGTTTTTGCGCCCGCGTGCAGGCCTCGCAGCAATCCGCGAGCAGGCCCAACGTCCGCTGCATCTGCGAAGCCACCGCCCAAGACCCCGTCCGCGGAGCGCTCATCCAGTGCCAAAATCAGGTCCGCGTCCGCTCCCTCGGTGCCCCCAGCCTTCCCGCGCCCGCCCACGCGCCGCCCGGGCGCCCTGATCCGTCCCGCGGCCGCCCACGCACCCGTGCAGGAATGCAAGATCTACCAGCACCGCACCTGCGTCCTCGTCCAGCCAGGCGGCGGGCAGCACTTCCTGTGCGAGCGGTGCCGCGTGCAGGAAGCCGACCCCTTCTGGGTCGTCGAGCGCGTCGTCGCCGCGGGGCTCCCGCGCCCGGTCCAGACCTCGATCATGGACATCGCGGAGCCGCGCACGCAGGTCCTGCGGCGGTTCTCGCTCTCGCAGCCCGAGTGTTCGCGTCTCTGGCGCGACACCGACACCTACCAGCTGCAAATCTCGTGCGTGCTGATGGGCGACGCGCCGCAGGAACGACTCCACTGGCCCACGCAGGCCGAGGTGCGACGCCCGCGCCCGCGCGCGCGCCACACACGCGCGGGCGGACGCTGCCGCCTGCGCCCGTGCGAGCCCGCCCGCGCGCCGCCATCGCGGCCAGCGCACGCCGCGCACCCTCTCTGGCCCCGCGTCCCGCCTTTCCGTCCGGCGCCGCGACTCAAGAGCCAATACAAAAAGACACACGGGCGCAACTTGCGCTGTTGCTTCCGCCCCCGCTGCGGCCCCGCCCGACCGTCCCGCCGCTCTCCGCCATCCCCGGCTTGCAGCTCGCGATCAACGGCGCGCGGTACCGCCCGTTCTCGCGCGCCCAGAACGTCGAGCTGTCGAAAACAAGCCGCGACCTCCCCGCCAACGTCTCCAGCATGGTCTCGCCCGGCACGAACGAGATCCTCCTCTCGCACCGCGACCTCCGCAAGTTCTACCTCGTCGCGCGCCTGTGCCGCGTGCGGCCCACGCGCGAGGTCGAGGCGCGGATCGCTGCGCCGGAGAGCATCGCCGACGGCACGCAGCGGCTCATCGACAAGGCGCGGAAGATCAGCGACAGCGACGACGACCTCGTCGTGAACCAGGAGCTGCGGCTGAGCCTGATCGACCCGATGACGTGCGCGCGCGTGACGCGCCCGGCCTACAGCAAGCAGTGCGGCGCGCACCGCGTGTTCGACCTGGACGTGTTCCTGGACGCCGCGAAGCGGACGCGGAAGTGGATCTGCCCGCACTGCCTCAAGGTGACGCGGCTGCAGGACATCGTGCTCGACTCGTACATGGCGGTGAGTGCGTCAACCTGACACCCGCAGGGGGGGTTGTGGGGGTTGTCTTGTTGTGGCTTGTTTCTTGAGCAGGACGCGGGACGTGCTCCGAGCCGCTGCCGGGCGTGCGTGCGGTGCTGTACGGCAGGGACGTTGCAGTGCTGCGTAGGGACATGTCGCGACGCGGGAGGGAGTGCAAGTGCGTGCGTGCTGCGTGTTTGCGTGCATCGCAGAGGGTGCTGGACGTGCTCGAGAACTGCCCGAGCGTCGAGGAGATCGAGGTGAACGACGCGGGGCAGTGGCGGCCCGTCGGCATCGAGGCGCAGGGCTGGCGCAGCATCGACAATGAGCAGCGGATCGCGCCGTCCGTGGTTGCGCACGCGGAGATGATGCAGGTCGAAAGCGACGACGACGACGACAAGGACGCCAAGCCTGGGCCGTCGGGCGGCAGCGGGGCGAGGCGGGGGGTCAATAACAAGGCCCCCCCTCCTGTCATCATCCTGATCGACTCGGACGACGACGAGCCGCCCCCCGCGGCGGGGACGGCGAACGGCAACGCGCACGCGGCCTCGCAGCCGAGCGAGCAGGCCACCGGCGCGTCGCGGAACGGCCAGGGCGGCGCGGCGCCGGCGCCGGCGACGGCGCCTGCGAGTAACACTGGCGGCGGCGCGAGGAGCGCCGCCGCGCCGCAGGGCGCGCGCACGGCGCCGCCGTCGACCGCGCAGCGCCCCGGGGGCCCTGGCCCGCCCGGGGGTGCGCAGAAAAACACCCCCGGCCCAACCCCACCCCCGGCCGCATGTACATCCGAAGTCAGACCGGGGGCCCGAAGAGTCCCCCCCCTCCGGCGCAGCGCGACCTCGGCGCCGGCAGCGGGCCGGTGGACCTCGGGGTGTCGACTCCGACGCAGGCGCAGCGGGGTGTCGCACGCCAGGTGGGCGGCGCTGCAGCTGCTCCGCAGGGCGCCAACGGCCACGCGCGCCCGCCAGGCAGCGGCCGGCGCAACGGTCCTCCGGGGTCGCGGCCACAGCAGGGCGGGCGCGGCGCGCCCGTGCACCCGATGGCGACGTCCGGGCGAGAAGGCCACGCCGTGCTGGACCGACACATGGAGCTGTCCGAGCTCGTCCCAGAGAACTGGGATTCCTGTTTCCCGAGCTACTCGAACCCGATGGACATGCAGGCGTGGCAGGGCCAGCACGGCATGCCGTACAACTACATGTTCCCGCAGGGAACATCATCATTATTCGGGCCGGCGTATAACGGCATGATGGGGGTTGGGCACCCCGAGCACCAGATGCGCATGCTCAACCCGTATGCGCCGCCGCACGTGCCGGGCAACCGACAGCAGCCGCCGCCGCCGCCGCACGGGCCGCCGGGGCACGGAGGCGGCGCGGGGCGTGGGAACGGGGGGCGGGCGCTGTTTCCGTCGCAGGTGTCGGGGGTCGGGCGCACGACGCCGAAGAACCCCGCGCGGCGGATGTAGGCGGCCGCACGGGGCGGTGCGAGGCGGGTGCGCGTCGGTTGCGGGTCGGGCGGGCGGGATGGCGGGGCGTATTGCAGCGGAGAAGCACAGGGTGGTGGTGCGAGGGGTCGCGTGTGACGCGGCAGGGCACGGGTGGGGACAGGTCGGGAGGCTGAAGTCACTTGCTGGTCTGTTCGATCGAGCGTTGTGTCGCAGATTGCGTTGCGGTCGAAAATGAACTTGTTTGTATAGATAGCATGCTGTTGCCATGCGCGCACCGTCGCCCGATGCTCCGCGCGCACCGACGTGCTGGCTTCGACCGACACGAGGCACACACACGTGTGGAACGACGCCGCGACGGCTCTGTGGCGTGGGGGGAAGTGTTACAGAGACCCCCAGGGATGTTGCCGCGAAACTGCACCGAATACTCGGCACGCTGTCATGCCACGGGGACGCTACGTGCGCGCGACACCCGCGTCGCCTTCTTGCAGGCACGGGAAAAATTAGAAAATATAAAACTGAAGAGTGGGGGGGGTCAGCCGAGGCTGAGGGAGTTTCAGAGCCCCTGGACGTTCGCCCCGGCTTTTCCGGGGCACTGAACCGGAACGCCGTCAAATTCGACAGCGCGCCGCCGTGCACCGAGCCCGCTACATCACGGCACAGCAAGCAGGTTTGTCTTCGCGCACGTGCGCCGCATCGTCGTCCCCGGCCGCGGACGTCTTCGCGGACCACGCGGTGCGCGTGAACGGCCGCATCGCGAGCGGCGCGGGCTGGTACTTCCTCGCGTACTTCCGCGGGATGCCCGCCGCGATGATCGCGTCCAGCTCCTGCGCACACAAACACACACGCACGCCGCACTGGTGGGCAAGAGGAACGAACGAGGACGCTCGCGACCAGATTGTGGTCTTTCGCGCCGCGCGCCGCCTGCCTGCCATCCCGGCTAGCGCGGCTTCGGATGCCGCATTCTCTTTTTCAGTACACGACGGAACAGATACAACCACGCGCATCGAGCGTCGTCCTGCGGCAGGACGCGATGCCGCCAACGAGCGCTCGCTACAACCACGCGCATCGAGCGTCGTCCTGCGGCAGGACGCGATGCCGCCAACGAGCGCTCGCTAGACTACCATATACGTGGCGTGCAGCGCGAGACGCGGCCCGGCGCCTGCAAGAACGCGCCGGCATCCTTGCAGCATGCACACAACGCGTGCGCGCACCTCTACGACCTCTCGCATGTGCGGCCGCTTGGCCGGGTCCTGCAGCCAGCACTGCGCGATCAAGTCCTGCACCTCCTCGGGCCACTCCTCCGGCAGCTCCGGCCGCGCGCCGTGCGCCGTGCGATTGGCCAGCTCCAGGGCCTCCGCGCGAGAACCCACCATGGCCGCCGTGCTGCGCAGCTCGCCCCGGAGCGTCTCGAACATGATGAGCGCGAAGGAGAACACGTCCGCGCTCTTGTTGTACGCATCCTTGCGGAACACCTGCATCGCAGTCACGATTTGATTGGTAAGTATTTTATAAATGAAGGTTTCTTGGTATTGAACGAAGATGATACGAAGACCGCATCGTGAGCAAACGCCCAGCAGATACCAGAGCCAGCAGCGCATTGGCGGCCGACATGCCGTGCCGCTTGCGTTGCGCTGCGGGCCAACGACCGAGCTGTGAACCACCGCACCTCTGGAGCCATGTACAGAATCGTGCCCGCGCCAGTCGTGTTCTTGGCGACTCCCGCCGCGCCGTCCGGCACCTCGCGCACCCCCTCCGCCAGCACCATGCTGCGCTTGCTCGTCGCCGGGGAGCGCACGGGGTGTTTCGCCCCTGACGCGTCGCCCAGTAGCTCCCCGTCCGCTCCCGACACGAAGCGCGACCGCGGGACGGTCTCCGGCCGCGAGAGGCCGAAGTCGGTGAGCTTCGCGCGGCATGCCGCGTCGCACGGGTCCGCCACTGTCAGCAGGACGTTCTCAGGCTGCAACACACAAATGCACATCAACAAAGGAACAAGTAAGGAATGCACATCAACAAAGGAACAAGTAAGGAACCTGCTGATGATGAAGACGTGCGCACTGACGGCGCGAATCACGCCGAGCCGCAGCCCAGCGCCGCAGAGGGAGCTCCGTGGCCGGCGGGGCAGCGCGACGTCTCCGACGAGCCGCATCATTTTGAGTTGCAAAGTGATATCTGACGACGTGCTCTCACCTTGAGATCGCGGTGCATGATCGGCGGGTCGAACTCGTGGAGGTACGCTAGCGCCGACGCGGTGTCGCGCAGCCACTTGAACGCCGTGTCCCACTTGTACAACACCCCCCCCACCTCGCTCATCTGCTCACTGATCAACTGCTGCAGAGACCCCCCCTCGCAGTACTCCAGCGCCACAAACACCCCCTCGACCGCCCCCGGCTTCAGCATCCCAGACGACACGCGCGAGAGCAGCTGCTGCACGGACGGCGCCCGCAGCGGGCTCACGACGTCCGCGGTGGACGGCGGCGCGCTGGGGGCCGGGGCGCGTGGCGGGCTCTGAACCGGCACCACGGCGCCGCGCGCGTGCGTGTCCGTGCGCGCCCGCAGCAGCTGCTTGCGAATGCTCGGCCCGGGTTTCGGCCCGGCGCTGCGCGCGCTCACCGCCGATGGCGCCGGCGGGCGGGCGCTCTCCGCGTTGCTTGGTGCGGCCGCGACGCGTCCGACGCCGACGACGCGCACGATGTGGTCGTGGTCGAGCGTCTGGAGCATCTTGATCTCCACGGCGTAGTCCCGCATCGCCCTGTTGCGGTACGAGTGCGCCGGGTCGATGTGGATCTTCTTCACCGCAACGCGGATCGGATTCTGGCCCGGACGGCACAGCTCCATGAGGTGCACCGTCCCAAACCCGCCCTTGCCCTGCGGATGCGGGTCGCGGGTAACATGTGTCGGGGATCGAGGCGTGAAGGCGAGATGTCACTGCTGGGCCAACAGCCGCCTCCCCGCTGAGGAGCGGGGCGCGCGTCACGGCTCGAGCACCTTTCCGAGCTCCGTGGTCCATATCAAGGCAGGGACGGCGCGTGATGGCCGAAGTGCGCACCAGAGGCTTCACGAACGTCAGGTCATCCCAGTCCAGACTGGCAGAGCGCTCCAGAGACGGGGACAACTGGCTTGGGACCGGGGGCGAGCTCAGCGCCGGCCTCAGGCTCTCGAAGTGCGTCGTGCGGCCATGAGACTTGGCAGGGGGCTCCCCGGGCGCAGCGCTCGCGGCTAGCTGCACGCGCGCAGTTGCTGACGCATGCTCAGCGGCCGCCTGCGAGCCCTGCGAGCGAAATGACGGAACAGAGCCTTCTCGCGGACGGCGAATCGCGCAGGAAGGCCCAGGCAGCGGGTCGGGCGTGCCGATCGCGCGCAGATGCAAAATCACCCACTGGGAGCGCGCTGGCGGGAGCTGGCGCGGTTTGAACGCATATCGAGGCGCCGACCGGCATGAGGGCTCCATGCAGCACCAGGAAATCGCAGCCGGCGGCCGCGACGCAGTTATCGGCGGCGCTGCGCCGAGGCACAGAAGGGGGAGGCTTCTTACCTCCTGAGGGGGGCCAAGGGGGACGACTGCGGTCATCTCGACGCGTTCATTGCATTCTACAGTATCAATCTAAGCCTTGAGAGCGATACAAGACTGCGAAAGTCGCGCTGTCACGCGCGCTAAGCAGCTTTACGAATCCAGTGCTGATTCGCGGACGGTCCGCTCGAACAGCGCTCGATGCGTTGACATCGCCTCAGGGCGACTGCTACGTATCGCTACGTCCTTCCCGCGCGGCGACACGCGGCCTTGATGCCGTGGGCAGCCTGACTCCTCGCACGGCTGTGGTCGTCCCGATTATCAATTCCCCACGTCCAGCGCTGCTGGCAGCAGAACGAGCCGGAAGCCCCATCGCTGCCCACCCGCCTGGCGCACGTGCGCTCGCTGCGAGCGCGACCGGTCGCTTCGCAACCACGCCAACCCCGTGAGACATTGATACACTATGTTGCGAATAATCAATCAATCAATCAATGAATTGATTCATACAGCCGCCCGTGAGCGCTGCAAATCCCCCCCCGACACCCCAGCGCACGCGCGTCGCTCCGCACGGCGCCTCAGCCCGCATGCAGTCACTCACACGTCGTCGCGAGACCCCCCCGCCCAGTCGTGTAAACCCCCCCAGGCGCGCCGCCCGTCACGGCGCAATCGTCTCCGCAGGCGTGGTGCTCGGTCCGCTGCCCGTCTCGGCACCCGTGAACCCACCGAACGACGCTGATGCTTCTGCGCTGGCGGCAGCGCGCAGGTCGACGCCGCCGATCCCGCTGTCGTACGCGAAGCCCCCCGCGGCCGCCCCGCGCACCTCCGCGCCCCCCCCTCGCTGCTGCGTGCCCGCGACGGCCACCCACGGGCGCGCCGCGGCGCGAGTCGTCGCCTCCCCGCACCCCGGCTGCCAGGGGGGGCAATTGCCGACCCCCCCACCCTGCGAGCCCGACGCGCCGCCGGCCGCCGCGGCGTCCGCGCCGCGCACGGCCCTCGGGACGAAGTTGACGTTCACGCGCGGCGTGGGCTGCTGCGGATCCGCGTCCGCCCCATCGTCGCAGGCCCATTTCGGCACCCACCAGGGGCAGGTAGAGTCCCCGCCGTTCGGCGGCTGTCGGGTCGGCGGTGCCCAGGGCGTGGCCGCCGGGATCCGCGTGCGCACGTTCACGTTCACGCGCGGCGTGTTCGCCGACGCCCGCGTCGTTTGCGCTCCCGGCGCAGTTGGGCCCGGCGTCGTTGTCGCAGCGGGCGCGGGGGTCGTGGCCGGCGCCGGGGTGGCGCCGGGCGTGCTCGCCGCCGTCGTCGTCGCAGCGGCAGCGGTCGTCGTAGCAGGAGCAGCGGTCGTTGTCGCAGGCGCAGCTGTTGTTGTAGCAGGCGCAGCTGTGGTCGTCGCAGGCGCCGTCGTTGCGGCGGGCGCGGTGGTCGTCGCGGGCGCGCTGGTCGTGTTCGGCGGCGCCGTCGTGGCCGGCGCCGTCGTCGCGGCAGGCGTCGTCGCCGGGCTCGTCGTCGGGCAGTTCCCGGCCCACAGCGACGGCTTGTGCTGCGCGATCATGGCCACCATGCGCAGCTCCTGCCCCGGCGTGAACTCCGTCATGCACAGGTCCCCGGAGTAGTCCATGTAGTTGCTCACGGAGTCGTCTCCGGGGAGATCAGGGCACGTGTCTTTGGGGGTGTCGCACGCGTCGCCGCCCAGACCGGTGAAGTACGACGGCGTGGACTGCGCGGGGGTGTCGACGACCTTGTCGCCGGAGTCCTCGGAGGAGTCCATGCACTCCCCGCCCTCGAACACGTGCAGCAGACCGAAATAGTGCCCCACCTGGCATGTGCGCGGACACCAAGATCGAAATGCCTGATCGCCAGCAGCCGAGACAGCGACGGGCTCCTCGCCCACGGCGCCACACGCTGAAACGAAGCAACCGCATCGCGGGGGGGTATTGCGCGCGCAGGTCGGACAGAGGGTACAGCGGGCGTCCGGCGCGGCCCGTGTGCGAGCTGCTCACCTCGTGCACGAGCGTGTCGCCGTACCCGAACGCCGAGGAGTCCCCCCCGGGGAGTGTGTCATACCGGACGAACACCCAGTTGCGCGGGTCGCTCTCCGGGAGGCCCGGGAGCCGCGCGCGGCCGAGGCTGCCGCTTGCGGGCTTGCAGCTGCGCGAGAACAACCACACGGACGGGGACGCAGGGTCAGATAGGGAAAAAAGAATGAAAAATGAAAAATAGCGAATGTAAAGGATGCAGCTGTGTTGGTGTTGCTTGATTGATTGTTTTCACGCGGAGCGCGTGCGAGTGTTGTGAGTTCTGACCTGTAGACGTTGACTGCGCAGCCCGGGTCGACGGCGAGCTCCTGGGCGATGGAGTCGTGTTCGGACTGCGGGCATGCGAACTTGCCGGCGTCCTCGACCTGGCGGAGCTCCCGCAGCACGAAGCGCGCGCCGACTTGCGAGAAGGCGGAATTCAGGACGGAGATCTGCGCGGTGCAGCGGGCAGTCGGCGGGTGAGCGGCGAGAAGGGGAGCCTGGAAGGAAAACGTTGCGTGCTGGCCGGCCGGCCGGTCACCTGGGCGTTGACTTGTGCCTCCGTCAGAGATCCCTCGCCGTTCGACTGGAGCGCGTGCCAAACCACTGCGGAGCGCGCGCGGTGCGGCGGAGTTTGCGGTCGAGAGCGAAAACACGAGCGTTCGAATGCGAAGCTGTCGCCGCATACGGCGCAATGCTCCCGGCATTGCTTTTGAAATACGTTCAGGCCGGGACTCGCCTGGGACGTTGAATTGGCGCGTCCGCGCCGCCGCCTCGGACAGCCTGTTCATGCCCAGGAGGCTTTGCACGCTCTCTCCGAATGTCCGCCTCTCAGCTGCGCCCCGCGAACACGGTCCGGTCCACGTGAGTGTCCAGCAGCTCACCCGCGTCATCAACAAGCGCGTGCGCGCCCAGCCTTCACATGAGAGGGAAAAGCGGGACGGCCCCGTTGCTCGCGCACCTGCCAAGCCCAGCATCCCGACGTTCCTGACGGTCATCGGATCGTTCGCAGTGTCGCACGACCTGCGAAAGGCTGCCGCTGGAACGGCCGCGCCGGCCAGCAGGAGCACGGCGACGCAAAGGAGGCGAAAACGCAGCATCACGGTTCACGACGGAGCCGCACGAGGCGGACCGGACGCTAAAATGACCGCGAACGCCGCGAAAAAAGAGCGGCGTGCCCCGCGTCGGGCCTACCCGCCTCTCGCTCCACGCTGCGGCCGCGGCGCGCGATCGAGGCTGCTGTGCTCGTTGTGGTCGTACCGCGCTCGCGTCCGAACCTCACGGCGCGCGACAGGTCGCTATCTCGCGGTGAACACAAAGTACGCAGCCCTCGCGCGACGCACGGCTTCAAGCGACCGCGCGCGACCCGCGCACCCCGCTCCAGCCGAGTCAATTATCATTCGACGCCTGTCAGACGGGCGCACGCACCGAGAGAAGCACGCAGGCGGTGGTGGGAGGTTCACAGCGGGGCTCACCGCTCCCGGCTGCGATGCCGTCGTCCCTCTCGCCTCCTGTCGCCGTGCCGCGGACTGCGGCTCCGCCCCGCGCTGCGCTCCCGGGCTCTCCGCGGGCTCTCGCTCCGCCCCTCTCCGCCTCGCCGCGCCCGCCCCTCCCTCTCGCGCGACCTGCTCCGGCTCCTCGACCGGCTCCCACGCCCCCTGTGTCTCTCCACCCTCGTCTCCTTTTTTTCCTTTTTTTCCTTCTTCTCCTTCTTCTCCTTCTTTTCTTTCTTCTCCTTCTTCTCCTTCTTGCTCTTCTTCTTGTCCGACGAAGGCAGCGGCGGCGGCGGCGGGTACTGCGTCGGCGGCGGCAGCGGTGCCGGGGGCGGAGTGATGCCCAGGGCCTCATACATCAGCTCCTCCTCGCGCTTCTTGACCATCGCGAGCTCGTCCTCGATCTGCGCGTCGCCCTCCTCCTTCTCGCGCGTGTACCAGTACACGTCCTTGCCCTTCTGCCACCTGCGCGCACCAGCGCGGGCGCAAAACGTCACCGCGGCAGGAAAACGTGCGGCTGGGGAGGGCTCCAGGCCGCGCGCGGGCGCGCACGTCCGCGAACGTGAAGTTCGATCCACGAAGAAGCGCCCCGCCGCGCACGGACGCGGCGAGGCGCGGCGCCCATCGCGCGGCGCGGCCGTCCGTGCAGGTACACGCCCAGGCCGTGCACCCAGCCGGGCAGCAGCTCGCGCACAGACGCACGGCCAGCTTCGAGGACGTCCGCCGCCGGAAACCGGCGCTCTCGCCTACCTTCCCGCCAGCGCCTTGACGCTGTGGCCCAAGTAGTGTTGCCGGTCCTTGTCGTCCATCCCGCGCACGTCCTCCCACTTGAACTGATCATGCCCCCCGCGGTTGCCCCCTCGGGGCTTCTCGTAGATCCCCCCGCCCATCCTCGCGCCCGGTTCGTCCACACACGCGCCGCAACCTACGCTCGCTTCTGCATGGTATCAGAGCGGCGGTTGTCCCGACGGCTGGGAACGTGGATTGCGCGGAAATGTAGGCGGAATGTGCGGGGCATGTGTCCAGCGCGCGGCCCGTGGGCGCGGCGCGTCGCGGGGGGCGCGGGGGTGTCGCGGCGGAGTGACGGACTGGCAAATTCACTCGACACGAGAGGTGTCGGCGACGGGGGCGCGCGGGGGCCGTGTGGCGATGTGTGCGCGGCACGTCGGCGGAGGGATTCAATTTCTTTCGCGGCTGAGCATTGGTTGGGCCGTCCTGGCGGCGCGACGAAGCAGCGCGGGGCGTTGAAAACAGACTCGGCAGCCGAGTGAATTCGTTCCGAGGGAGCGATCGTGCGGACGTTGCGTGGCCGCCGGAGCGCCGGAACCGACGTCACATTGACTCAATTACCCCCTCGTTCATCAACATGAGCCGTAGACACCTCGATACCATCGACGCGAACGCTTTCGACGCCGGGCACTCCAATGCGCACCCCGCAGCGGACCAGCACAAGCGCACGGCCTCCCTCCGCCACCCGGTCGCCGAGGTACGACCTCACCGCCCCCGGCCGCCGCCTCCAACCTCGCCAAATCGGCGTGGCGACGCTCCAATTCGCGATCGAACCACAAAAGTCCACCGCAGGAACGCTCGCAGCCCGAAACCCGCCCGGCCCGCCGCAACACAGCCGGCGCGCCGCCCCCACTGCCCGCAGATACCCTCGAGCCGTCCCGCGACGCGGCCCGGCGACCTCGACCTCGACTCCATGCTCGGCTTGAGCGTCGCCAACGCCCCGTCGCAGCCCACCCGCGGCCTCGACGGAGGCGCTCCGCGGCCCCACGCCCCCGCGAGCAACTTCAGCGCCTTCTACGAGCGCATGCGCGACGAGAGCAGCGCGGCGTTGGACCCCGCGGGCCCTCCAGCGGGCCGAACCACCGCCCCAGCCCCAGCGCCTGCTGCGGGAGCGTTCGTCCTGCCTGGAGCGGGCATCGCCCCCGCGGCCGTTTCCGCGCCGCTCGCGGCGAGCAGGCCGGCGCAGCAGACAGCCTGCGAGGAGACCTACCAGCAACGCACGCCGCCCGCGGACTGGACGCTCAAGACGTCTCTCGTGGTCACGCCGGAGGCTGGTGCGGGCCCGGGGCCGTGCTCTCTGCCGCTATTGCGTTCGCGTTCGCGGCCGGAACGCCACCGCCTCCGCAGCACGCTATTCTACGCGCAATCCGCGCGCAGTAGCACCGGTGGCGGGCGCGGACACGCGCGGTGCGCGGCGAGCGGCGCCCTGCTGGCCCGAGGCGTGGGAAGCGCCGCTTCGCAGCCACCGTTCCTCGACTGCCGTTCCATCCGTGCCTGTCGTCTCACGAACGCGCGCGCCGCCGACCCCGTTCGCCGCAGGCTGCTTCCCCGACTGGCAGAGCATCGGCCGCCTGGCCCCGCACGCGCGCGTCGCGGCCCTCCACGGCTTCTGCGCGGGCAGCAACGCACAGCAAGAGCAGAGCTTTCCCGCAGCTTTGACATCCGCGCTGCTGAGCTGGCACCACCCCGCCACGCCGCTCGATCCGGCGCAGGTCGCCGCGCTCGACGCGAGCGACAAGGCCGCATCGACGGCCCGCCGCACGGGCGCCCTCCGGGGCGCAGACACCCCCAGCAACCCCCCCGGGGTCCTCTCCCGCCGCCGCCGCGACTGGCAGGAGGCCCTCACGTCGCTGTACGGCGCCCTGCGTTCCGGGACGTGCCCCGGCTTCTTCGTCGTGCCGCCTCCGGCCGGCCGCGACGCCGCAGCGCGCACGAGCCACCTCCCCGTCATCGCCTTTCGCGGCGCAGCGCCCGGCGACGAGCCCCACGCGGTCTCCGCGACGGTCTCGCGGTCCGCGCCCGGCCTGCGCGACCGCGTCCTCCGCTCCGTCCCCTTCTGCGCGCAATTCTCCATGCCGCGCGCGGCGGCGGCCGCCGCCGCCGCTCCGGCGGTCGACCTTGACGAGCGCGACCGCGCCGCCGTCGCGCAGTGGGCCGCGGGGGCCGCGGCGGCCCCGCGGACGCTCGACGGCACGCGGCGGTCGCTGCTGGAGTTCCGCGGCGCCGCGGAGGTGCACGGGCTGTTCGACGCGCTGTTCAACGCCCCCGGGGAGTTTTGCGGGCCCGGGTGCGACGTGCCGGTGCTGATGGCGCCGTGCGCGTTCCTCGGCGCCGCGGTCGAGGCGCTCCCGTGCGATCTGCGCGGCGTCGGCGCCGCGGGCGCGGCCGGCGGGCAGAGGTTGGTGGTGGGCGGCGGCGCGGGGGGCGTTGTGCCGCCGTGGTGCGTGTGGGGGGTGTGCCGGGCGATGGAGGCGGCGGGGGTGGAGTTCAGCGTCGACGCGGAGGGGGCGGCGACGGCGGACAATCTCGGGTGCGGCAGGGCGCGGGTGGCAAATGCCGACGCGTGGTGCGGCGGTGGGCAGGGCGAGGGGGGCGGGGGGGTGTGGCGAGCTGCGCGGTGGACGGGCGGGCTGTACACCGTGACGGTGGCTTGACGGGTCCGGAGCGGTGCGTTGACTGGTTTGGACGCGGTGTGATAAACGCTCAGCGCTGGTATTGCGTAACTTGCACTGACGAGGTGGGCGAGGGTGACCGGACGGGAAACGACGCGGGCGCGTCTGTCACGTCCGGGCGCACGGGGGTGTCGCATGTCCGTCCAGGGACGCGGTATGACACACCACCACCTGCAACAGGTCAGACCAGGACTCGGGAGCTCTCCTGGGCTCTCAAAGCGTCGTTTGCGCGCTTGTCGCGCTCAGTAGTCCAGCTCTGATAGCATATCGCCCTGCGACGCCTCTCGTGTCCTCAGAACACCTCAACGGTGTGCGTACGTGCCGGTTGCCCTTCCGATGCCTGGCAGCACAGCCCACTCCGGAGCCGGCGCGACGCTGCGCGGCTCGTGTCCCACGTCCTCGCGGAGCCTGATGACGCAACTAGCTCGTAGCACCGGCTCGCAGCACCTCGGGCTGCCTCATCGCGTCCGGATGGCGTGTAGCGTCCAGACCACCGCAAAGCCCTCGTCCTGTCACTACGGCCGCCCAAGCGCACCACGGGGACGATGCGCGCCATGCGGCGCATCCTCAGCTCGCAGCCCACCCACCGCGCCGCCAGCGGCGCGAGACCGGCGCCGCCTTCGCGCCATCAGCCTGCCCAACAGCACACGGCGGCTTCTCGCGGGGTCTCTCGCCGTGCTGGCGTGCGGGCTGGTGGCCTGCGGGCCCAGCGAGGGCCGCACGATCATCGAGGCGCTCGTGACGGCGCCGGAGAGCGGCGACACGTCCGCTGCGATGGACAACGCGAAGAACCCCGCCCTGTATATCACCCTCCGACCCGCGTACCCCAAGGCGCCGGCGCTGGCGGCGCGCAGGGTCCTCTTGAGCGACCTCCCGGGCTTCCCCGGGCAGTCTGCTGTCGTCGCGATCACGTACGACCACGTCTACCCGGACGTCGTGCCGGACGACGCCTCGGAGAAGGACGCACTGATTGATCAGGTGCGGGCCCGCGTTCGCCCGCGACGTGTCGCGCTGCGGCCTGCTTTGCGCGCGGGGCGGATGTTTACGTGCGTGGCGGAGCGCTCGCGTGCGGCAGGGGCGATGCGGGGCCGTGGGCTGCGGGTTTGCCAGCCGAGGCGCCTCGAATGTTGCGTTGCACCGGGAGACTGTTTCGCATATCTCTCGTGTCCTTGCCCACGTTGGCTCTGTGGCTGTGCGCTTGCAGATCTGCCGCGCGGGCATGATCGTGTCGGCGCGGCTCGACACGGACGGCGACGCGGGCACGCGGTCGGAGTACGACCTCGTCGGGCGCGTCACGGCGCCGGGGGGGGAGTGCGGGGGGGAGTCTCCTGAGGTCAACCTGCGCGGACGCGGGCCGGCGGGGCGGTTCTTCGTCCGGCAGCTCGGCGGCGCGTAACCGCTCAGCATCCATCGAGGAGCACGCGCACAATACATACATACATACATACATGCGGCGTGTGAACGCGTGGCGACGGCGAACGACGCTGCCACGGTGCGGCGGAGACATACCGGATCCTCGATTGTCGCGTTGCGTGCTCTTCCCACGCCGTTCGCGCCGCAGCGTCCTGCGTGGGGACGAGCGAGCCGCGACGCGCCGTACGCTGCGTGTCGAGGCGCAGCACGCCGTGCGTGCCCGGGTTGCATGTGTGTGCACTCACAACAGTTCGGCGCCGAAACGACGACGTCGCAGACGGGCTGAGGCTCACGCAGCGCGTCAGGGTGGGCAAAGTGAGCAGGCCGAGCGGAACCACGCACGTGCCTGCATGACGTGAGTCTCTGAATGCGCTGCGTGACTGGGTGTTCACTCACATGGCCGCGGCGCGTCGCGCGCGACGGCGTCGTGCGGCAACGTCGTGCGGCGAGCCGTCCCGCGTCGTGCTGCCGTCGATGCAGCTCGCGCGGTGCCTACAGGCGCTGCCGGGACACGACGGCGGAGGGCGGGAGCATCTGCGTGGGCGTCTGCGTCCGGCGGCCCCACGACGCCGACAGGTCCGACGCCGTCGTCATGCACCTGCGGCAGCGGTACGCACACACACACACTCTGTCAGACAAGAAGTATATCTCGAAAAAAAAAATTATTTATTCATACGTATAAAATGTAATGCGCGAAGATGCGGAGTTGAGTTCGGCCGGTGCGACGCGCCGCCCGCCGGGCGGGAACGCCGGCAAAGAGGCGCTCTTGTGACGGCGCGACGTGTGCGCGGCAGGTCGTCTGTGCCGCCCTACGCGCGCCAGGCGCGCCCATTGCCGCACGTCGCGCCTCACGCGGCGCGTCAAGGCGGGCGCTTCGATGCGGGAATGATGTAGGAGGTACGTTCCGGGCGCGGGCGCCGCGTGGCACCCTCGCTGCCGCGCAACGTGGGAGGGCGAAGCGCTGGTGGTTGCAAGGCCGGAAGAGGGCGACGGAAGCGGCTGGCAGGGGCCTCGGACAGGCGAGGGGGCTTGGGCTCGCTCGCTCGAGTATGTGAGGTGGCGTGGGGCGCGTCTCGGGGCCGTGCTGCGGCGTGAGGGAGCGCGACGGGTCGGGCTTGGAGAGAGGCGCAGAGAGCGAGTGTGTGCGCACGTGTGGAAGGATCCGACGCTCTCGAAGTCGTCGTCCGCGTCCGCGTTGTTGCCTCCGGTCGACACCGGCAAGGCGCCGGAGCCGGCGTCAGCCTTGGCGACGCGAGGGGCAGCGAGCTCCACGGCACCTCCGTTGCTCTCTGGCGAGTAGCGCCCGGTGGACGCGTTGCCGTCGGGGCCTGCGGGACGCATGCGGCGGGACGCGTCGCTGGGGGCGGCGCGCAGCGGCGCGCGCGCGCGGAGGCGACGGTGGCGCCGGAGAGCAACTGGAGAGGCCGCGGGGCTGTACGGGCTGCGGGCGGGACATCATGCGCAGCGGATCACCCCCGCGTGGAGAACGTATACAGGAGCGTGGATTCGCGCGAGGTTGCGGGGGTTCACGCGGAGGGAAGAGACGCGGGCGCGCACCCTGAGCGGGCTCCTTGGGCGCGCAGCAGCTGCCGAAGAGGCCCATTGCGATCACGCTCGAGGCGAGGAGAGGTTCTACGGTCCTGGAACGTCACGCAGGGCGGCGAAGTTACCGTCCCCGCGCCCGGAGCTCGCGGCACACGCCCGTTCCTGCAGCTGTACGATTCCCGACCGGCGCGGAACGCTCGCTCCCAGTCTGACACGACCGAATTCCGACCTCCAGAGATTCCTGCGCACCTGGACTACCCCTAGCCGCGCAGGGACCGCGCCGTTGGCGACCCCGCGCGCCGCAGCGCGGACATCTCTCCTCCCTGACCTAGCACTCGAGTTCCCAGGTCTTGCGAGGCGTCCCACGTCCTCGATTCCTCCGCGCGCGAGCCGGCGCGCGCAGTTCCGCCGGACGGCCTCTCTCTTCGCTGAATCGAGGGAGCGGCAGGCAGACGAGCGCGATGCTCGGCGTGTGGCGGCGTGCGTCGCCCGCTCTGGCCAAGGGCCTGGCCGCTGGCTGGCCGACGACGGTGGCGGGGCCCGTGGCGGTCGCGGAGGCCTGGGCGCCCGCGACGGGGTCGGTGCTGCAGCGGCTGGGCGCGCGGTGCTTCGCGTACGACCCGAACAAGCGCGACAAGCCGCACTTCAACATCGGGACCATCGGCCACGTAGACCATGGCAAGACCACGCTCACCGCAGCGATCACCAAGGTGCGCTGCGCAGTTTATACCTGCCTCCCGGGGTCGCCTACTTCGAGAACTCGCCGGATACGGGCGGGAGATCCCGCGGTGGGTCGTTCTGGGGCCGACACGGGCGACGGCTTGCCTGCGTGGGTCCTCGCCGCGGGCTGTGCGGCGGGGCGGGGCGTGACGAGGCGTTGGTGGAGCGGGGCTGGCGCGGAACAGATGTCGAGATGCGATCGCGGGCGCTAATCGGCCCAGTCGTGCGCCGCATGCGCCTCGATTTCACACCAGGGTGCTCGCTGGGCTTGCTCTAGGCTTCGGGTCCCTGACACCGCGCACAGAGCCTCCCGCTCGCCGTTCCGCGCCCAGCTGCGCGCTTCCACTCCACATCTTCCTCGCGGCCGCGTCCCACGGTCCGAAAACCGCACACCTGCCGCGGTAGCCGGCGCGGTGTGGGCGCGCTGCCCGGGACCAGTCGCGCTCCCGTTCGCGGCACCCTCGCGCGCTCGCGTCCCATCTCGGCCTCCGCTGAGTCGCTCACATCGTCCTCCGCGCCGCGCCGTCGCCTGTTCGGCGCGACGCTGCCCAGCCGCGCCGCACGCGACGATGCCCTCGAGCGTGCCGCACCACACCCAACACCCGCCGCACCGCGCGCGCACCGCAGGTGCTCGCCGAGAAGGGCCAGGCGACGATGCAGGCATACGACATGATCGACAAGGCGCCCGAGGAGAAGGCCCGCGGCATCACTATCTCCGCAGGCACGCCCTGAGACACTACGCACGCTCTTGCGCTGCGCATTACCACGCCCACAGAGCGCACATCCACGCCTCCGCCCGCGCCCACACACCCAGGTCCAAGCCACACGCCGTGAAGAGTCGAGTCTCGCGCCCACACCCCCGACACCCCCCCTGACACCCCCGCAGCCCACGTGGAGTACGAGACCGACAAGCGGCACTACGCGCACGTGGACTGCCCCGGGCACGCGGACTACGTCAAGAACATGGTCACCGGCGCCGCGCAGATGGACGGCGCGATCCTCGTCGTCGCCGGCACCGACGGCCCCATGCCGCAGACGCGCGAGCACATCCTGTTGGCGAAGCAGGTCGGCGTGCCCTCGGTCGTGGTCTTCCTGAACAAGTGCGACGAGGCGAAGGACCAGGAGCTGCTCGAGCTCGTCGAACTCGAGCTGCGCGAGCTCCTGAGTCAGTACGGGTATGACGGGGACTCGGTGCCCATCGTGCGGGGGAGTGCGCTGTGCGCGCTCGAGGGGCGGGAACCGGAGCTCGGCGCCAACGCCGTCACGAAGCTCATGGAGGTATGCACGGCGCTCCTCATTCTCATTCTCTCTCTCTGCGTTCGCACGGCTCGGCTCCTCCTGCGCCTGTTGTTGTGCAACAAACGCAACGCGTGGGATACCGCACGCATCGTCACGCACACGCCCCGCACTCCTCGCGCACATGTTCTCTTCCTCATCGCCACCGGCATGCCAGACTCCCCCCCCCCTTTCATCGTCGAACCAAACACTCCCCCCGTCCCCATTCGTCCTGCAGGCGGTGGACAGCTACATCCCGGACCCCGTGCGCGCGCTGGACAAGCCGTTCACGATGCCGGTCGAGGACACCTTCCAGATCACGGGCCGCGGGTGCGTCGTGACGGGCCGCATCGAGACGGGCGTGATCAAGCCCGGGGAGGAGATCGAGATCATGGGCGCGGGGATGGCGCCGATCAAGACGACGTGCACGGGCGTGGAGATGTTCCGGAAGATGCTGGAGCAGGGGCAGGCGGGCGAGAACGTCGGGCTGCTGCTGCGCGGCGTCAAGCGGGAGCAGGTGCGCGCGCCAAATCACTCGCCATCACTATGTCTGTTCGGAGCTCGCGACTGCTAGTGCCGCGAGTGCGGGCATGCCGTCTGCCTCTACGCGACCGCCGTGCGTCACCTGCGCGCCGTGTGGAACGTCTCTTACACGCGCGTGGCGTTGTCGCGGCTTCGTTTCGCGCGCTTCGCCGCAGGTGTGCCGCGGGATGGTGGTGTCCAAGCCCGGGACGCTCAAGGCGCGCACCAAGTTCGAGGCCGAGATGTACGTTCTGTCCCAGGACGAGGGCGGCCGCCACAAGCCCTTCTTCGACAACTACCGTCCGCAGTTCTTCCTGCGCACGGCCGACATCACGGGCGACATCAAGCTCAAGGGCGACGCGAAGATGGCCATGCCCGGCGACAACGTCACCATCGAGGTCGAGCTGATCCAGCCGTCGGCTCTCGAGGAGGGTTTGCGCTTTGCGGTGCGGGAGGGCAAGCGCACCGTGGGCGCGGGGGTCATCAGCAAGGTCTTCGACTGATGCGGCAACAGTGCGGCATGCGTCCTGTGAAACACAATCACCTCTGCTCTCTCTCTGCACGACAACGTGGTCGCGCCCGCTCCCGTCCTGGGCAGCCCGAGCCCCTCGGACGCACACGCTCTCGCGTACTGCTGCGTCGTCACACGCGCGGTCACGGCGTGCGCTGCGTGCGCGTTTCGAACGCCGCCGCGATCGCCTCGTCGGGCGCGTCCGGGAAGGTGCTCTTGATCACGACCGTCAGCATGGCCGCGTCGTCCGCGGGCACCTCGAGCGCGTCCTCGAGGCCCATCGCGCACAGGCACAGCGCGTCCACCGCCACCTCCAGCTGCGTTTGCAGATCCACCGTGAGCTGCTCCCCCAGGAACTCATACTTCTTCATAACCTCCTCGCGGTACTGCACCACGCGGTCCATCTCGATCTCCAGGTCGTCCCTGCGCGCGGACGGACCAGTCGCTGCCGGAGTGGACGCATCACTGGACGAGTGAACCGACACAAATAAACACAAAGAAAGCAACAAATATAAATAAATAAATGCATGTGAAACAACCCCCTCCGCCCCTCTCTGCGTGAAGCGCGTCATAGCTCGTGGAGCGAGCCGGGCCAGGGTCCAGGGCGTCGCGGCGGGAGGCACTGACGAGTGAGGCCGGGGGCGCACGTGACGCGGAGGCGGCGCGCCGACTTGAGGAGGTCGATGGTCTTGGCGATGCCCGCGGCGTACAGCGCCATCCAGCAGCAGTAGATCAGGTACCGGCGGTTCGCGGGACGCCCGTGCTTGCGCTCCAAATCCACGCAGACGGCGCCAAAGTTCTCCGGGGCCTTTTCGTACACGAGGCGGGAGAACTCTGCGAAGGACGGCGACGCGTAGGTCCTGTCAGGCGCTGCGGCGCGGGCGGCGTCCGCGGCGGCTGGGCGGCGGTCCGTGCGGTGAGGGGGGTGCGTTCGAAGTGGGACCGGTGTCGAAAGACATACCTGGATAGGCCAGGAAGTCTCCCGTGAAGCCTCCCTCGGCGCTCGTGAGCAGCGACAGGAGGCCGATGACCGGCAGCTTGCCCTGGATCTTCTTCGCCACGCGCTTGATGTCGTCAAACGGCCTGCGGGGCGAACAAGCACACACACATGGTGCTTCAGGACGGCATTACGCTGCGAGGACGCCACCAAACCGCGCCTGACTCCCTCCGATGGAAGATAGAGTACGCAATAGCACCGTGTTGGGGCAAACATGGCTGCTGGGACCACCGGGGTGCAGCCCACGGCCCGTCGATCGGTGCCAATGTACACAAATCGACCCCCGGCAGCCCCGCCTGGACGTCCGCCGGTCCCTCGCGGCCTCCGCGAGCAAGAACTAGTCAAGGACGCGCAGCGCAGGCACCGAGCGTGCCTCCTACGTTCGCGCACGCGACGCAGCGAGCCACATCCATCACTGCAAGTCACGCCATCCCGCGCTCCCCGCGCTGGTTCCGGCGCCCATGTGGGCCCGCGTCTGTACAGCGGTACGAAGCATCTGCGTGTCTGGGGCTGCGCTGGCCGTGAACGCACCCCTCTGCCTGCGCCCGCACCACCTGTGTCTGCCGCGTCCGCCGCGCACACCCACCAGCGGCCCCGCATCCCACCCGCTGCCCGCACACCCGCGCAAGCTGTCCGTGCATCGACCCTGCGAGGCACGCCACCGTCCGCTGACAGCCGCCTGCTGTGCCGCGGCGCTCGGGCGGCGGCCGGCAACGGGCAGCCAGGATCGTGCCGGCAGTCGAGATTCCCCCTTCCGCGTTCAACTTTTACCCTGGAGTGCCCCCTCAGGAGGCTCACGCGCGCTGCGAGCCCGCGGGCGGCATTGAGCCACCGTCCTAGCGCTCACGCGGACAGCCGCCCTCGCAGCGAACGTACTCGTGCCACGGCGAGGCGCAGCGACAAGCAGCGTTCGCACACGGCACGCCCGACGCCTCTTGGTGCCCGGCCCAACGCTCGTCTCCTTCGTGCGGCACGGGCGGTGCCGCGCGCCGCGGCTGACGGATGGACGAGTCGGGGCTGGACAATGAGGGCAAGGCCTACACCTCGTGCAAGGAGATGTGGCAGGCGGAGTTGGGCGAGAAGGGGGAGAAGCGGGAGACCTGGTACTCGAAAGCCGTCGAATACTGGGAGAAGTCGGAGCCGACGTACAACGGTGCGCTCTCCGCCGCATCAGCATCAATATTTCGCGAAAATCCGCGTCGTTCTCGCCGCTGAGAGCCGACGGGAGCGTGCAGTGTGGCCCATCAGGTGGTTGGAGACCGCCGCCACACGCGCACGCGAGGTCCCGTGCGCTGCCGTCCGCACCCACAAATGACACTATTCGTCCGTAGTGGCCACGGCGCTTCGCGTCGCCTGCGGGGCCGGGCAGCGGCCGCAGCGGCCACCTCACTAGCGCCAACGTGTCGCAGCCGCGTCCGCCGGCGCAGGCGTGATGGGCGGCTTCGAGAAGGTATCGCCGCTCGACGTGCGCGACAGCAAGAAGTTCCTCAAGCGCCACCTCAAGCACCTCCTGGAACAAAAGGAACACGGTATGAACTTTTTTTTTTTCCAAACACACCGTCCACCACACCTGCACGCACACCCTCACCACGCATCCGCCGCCCCGGCACGACCCGCGCTTATCTTGTCCCACTCTGGCGCGCCGCGCCATCCGCGGCCGCACCTCTGACCGCGCCCACGCACACTGCGCTTGTGTGCAGACGGGCGGAAGCTGCGCGTGCTGGACTGCGGCGCGGGCGTCGGGCGGGTGTCGCAGGAGCTCCTGCTGGAGTTCTTCGACACCGTGGACCTCGTCGAGCCCGTCGGGAAGCTCCTCGACACCGCGAAAGTCAACCTGGCACAGGCAGTTGAGTCAGGTCGGTACCCAGACGGACACGCGGCGGGGGAGTTTTTCGTCAAGGGCCTGCAGGAGCTCGAGCTCGAGCCGGAGTCCTACGACGTCATCTGGCTGCAGTGGGCGATGCTGTACCTCACAGGTATAGCCCGCTTCCTAATTACTGCATGCAACTAACTAGTAGTCACGCGGGGCGCGTACGCGCACGCTGCGGCCGCAGCTAGGCCCTGCGCAGGACGGCACAACACAGAGCGTGCTAGCTGCGCAGCGCGCAGGACGCTGCGCGGCGGTCGAGCCCTCGCTTTCGCCCCCTTTGCGCTTGCGCAAGCTTCGCCGTCGCCGCTGGCTGCACCGCAGACGACGACGCGAAGGCGTTCTTCGAGAAGTCCCTCGCGGCGCTGCGGCCGCGCGGGCGCATCTTCGTGAAGGAGAACACGTGCGAGGTCGGGTTTGTGGTCGACAAGGACGACTCCTCCCTGACGCGGTCCCGACCCTACATGGAGCAGCTCTTCAAGCAGGCGGGCGCGGTGCAGCTGGGGAGCGCGCGGCAGACGGGGTTCCCCGAGCAGCTCTTCGAGGTCCAGATGTACTGCCTCGCGCGGCCAGGGAACATCTGAGGACGCGCGCCCGCGCGGGAGGTGTTGGTGGCGTGGGAGGCGGTTGGGGCGACGCTGGCCGGGGGAAACGGCGCAGCGAAATGAGCGAGGGCGCGGCGGGCGAGGCCGGCGCGCGGTCGTGCGCGTGACGCGGCGCGGCGAGCGTTGAGTTGGTGGGGAGTCGAATCGTGTTACAGAGCGGCGTCTGGCGCGTGTGTCGTTCAGAAGTCGAGCCATTCGTTGTAGTACTCGCACGTCGCGGGCGTGATCGGGCCGACGTCGCTGCACTGCGCGGACACCGGGCACACGCCGCACGGGACGCCCCCCAGGGCCGTGCTGGCCAGGGGCCGGGCGGACGCGAGCCGGAACGCGACCTCGCCGCCCTCCCCGCCGCCCTCGACCTCCTCGAGCGCTCCGTCGTAAATATGCGTGTTCAGAATGTCGAGAACCTCGGCCTCGCGCAGGTCAATCGTCGACAAATTCGACTCCTTGATGAAAGCCGACACCTGCCCGAGCGTGACCTCCCCGCGCTTCGTGACGAGCTTGAGCGACGCCTGGCGCAAAACTTCGATGAATTCGCTGTCGAGCTCCTGTTCCGTGTACCACGCGCCGCCCGTCAGCTCCTTGGCGGGCAGCAGCTCGTACAGCATAAACACCTTGCGCTTCCCGGCCTCGACGGACCGCACCTCCTTGATGAGCTTGCGCTGGAGCAGCGACGTGACGATCTTCGTGACCGTCGCCTGCGGGGCGACCACGACGCGCGCGCTCACGCTCGCACAGCGCCGACACACACAGCTGCAAGCCATCGACTGCCGCGGCGCGCCGCCGGCCGCGCGTCGCGCAGCAGGGCAGACACGAGACGCGCGAGCGCGTCCGCGGCGACGAAACGCCGACTTGCAAGCAAGGCGCGCAGCGCGTCTCGCGGCCCCGCACCTGAGGCAGGTTGCTCTTGGCGCGGAGGTCGCGCGCCCAGATGCCCTTGTCGCCCACCTCCTTGATGACCTGGTACACCAACTGCTCCTCGATGGTCAGGCCGCGGAACCGCGTCTGGTCCTCCCGCGACAGCGCGCGGTACAACAGGTCGCCGTTCGGGGCCTGCGGGCGCCGGAACGCAGCGGTCGTTTCGGGCAGCGCGCAGGGCACTTCGCGGCGCGCCGTGGACGGACCGATGCCCCGGCGGGTCCGGGCAGGCGACGCGACGACGAGTGCGGTGTCGAGGGGTGTGTGTGGAGGTGGGAGCGATGCAGGGGGGGGGTCAGCGGCCCGGGCGCGCACCTGGAGCGCTTGGAGCTTGTATTGGCTCAGGAGGCTGTTGATGGCGCGCGCGACGAGCGTCAGGGAGGCTTCGGGGCAGGATGCTTGGATCGCCTCTTGACTGAGGCCGTCCTCATCCGAGGCGGTCGTCTTGCACAGGTGCATGATGGTGTCCTCGATGTGCTGGAGCACGGCGGCGCCGCTGCGCTGCGGCGCGTTCGCGGGCGCCGGGGACAGGCCCTGGAGGGCGCCGACGCGGGCCCGCTTCGCCGCTGGCTTCACCTCGGCGTCCACGCCGGACGGCCCGGCGCCGTCATTCGTCTCGCGCACGCGCGTGGCGCGCGACGCGCCTTTCGGAGCCACCGTGCTGCGTCTGCGCGGCGGGCGCGGGGAGCGCTGGTGCAATGCTTCACTCAAGGCTCGCAGGCGCCCAACAAGGCGTCGCTCTCTAGATTTCGTCCCTAAAATGCTATCCTACGAGTAACATCTAGCGAGATATGGCAAAACGAGCGCAGGGGAATCCGCCAGGCTCTTCTGCAGGGCGGTCCTGTATGCTGATGACCAACGCAGCGCTGCGACGCGGCGTTCGGCGGCTACTTGCACGCAAACAGAGCGCCCCCGCCTTCTCTGGCGCGCGGACTCTGCCCCGCGCCACCGCCGGTGCGCTGCGAGGAGCCCCCGGCGCCGTGCGGGGCGGCCGAAGGGGAGTGTCCGCGCCGGGACGGTCCGCCGACTGTTTTGCCGGCCAGCGCGCTCAACAGGCCGCCGCATGGCCCGCCCGCGACACGACGAACCGGCTGTATTTTTGGCATCGCTCCGCGGCTGCCGAACGACCGTTTCGAGCAAAGCACAGCGCGCAGTCGCCGTCTGCTGCCACTCGCCGCAGCCGCCAGCCCAGCCGGCGCAACACAACCGGGGCGCGTAATTCGCCCGAGTTCGCGGCCTCATACGCCTTCGGAACGCGCAGGCCCCGCTACACGCCGCAGCAAAGCCCGGAATCCCCCGCACGGCCCGTCTCGCCTGTTCCGGAGGCAGCACCTCCCGCCCGCGCCGCCCGCCCGGGCCGCGGCACGACTGAACCGACCGCGCCGCGGCTTCCGCATCCCGAGGGCTTCCGTCTGAGAGCGTCGCCTGCGATCAATATGGCGGACGTGGCGGGAAAGGCGGAGAAGAAGAAGCGCTCTCGCAAGAAGAGAAGCAAGGCCGGGGCGCAGCTCGTGGCTCCGGCCTACGAGCCCGTCGCGGCGGCCCCTGCGGACGACGACGGCCCCGAGGAGCCGCATGCGCGCGCACAGCCGGACAAACACGCGAAGAAACGGACGCAGGAGCAGCGCGGAGGTGCCGCGGTGGACGCAGGGCCTGGCTCGAGCGACGACAGCGAGGACTTCCACGAGCCCGGGGACGACGATGGCCCGTCGCGCAAGAAGAGCAAGCCCACGGGCCGCGCGGCGATCAAGCAGTTCGGCATCGAGGTCGCGGACGTGGAGCGCATCGACGTACGCTCTCCGCCGCCTCCGCACCGCGCCGCACGCGCATTCCGCCGCAAACCGCCCGCCCCTCCTCCGCGCCCGCACCGCAATCTCCCCGAACACGCGCCGCGCTGCGCGGAGCGCGCGGGCCGTCCGCATCGCATACGCAGCGCAGCAACCCTTTCGGCGCGGCGCACGCGCCTCACGCGGTCCCGGCGCCCGCCCGCTCCGTTTCCTCGCAGGCCAACGTGTCGGGCATCATGTCGGACGTCAGGTTCGATTCGATGAAGCTGTCTGACAACACCATGAGGGGTATCAGCGACATGGGCTTCACGCACTGTACCGAGGTGCAGGCGCGGACGATCCCGCCGCTGCTCGAGGGCCGCGATCTCCTCGGCGCCGCCCGCACAGGCACGCGCGCCCGGCCCCACGCGACGCGGTGCAACGCCTCCGCATGCATGAAATCACATGACGTTGCGCAAACATACACATGCATTGTGTTGGTGGCGACGATGCCGATGACGAAACCGTGCCACCAAGCTCAAGTTCGCGGTCAGGCTGTGCTCCGGATCTGGCGCGAGCCAGAGAACCCATCCGGGCCGCCTGACGAGCCTCCCCGCGCCGTCAACGACCTGTCAGTCGCACTCAGGGAACCAACACCCCCCCCGCTTCTCCGCTGCCGCGTCCGTCGACCTAGGCCCATGCCGTCCGGGCGCGCCACGCCTGGCAGTTGCTGGCTCACGCCGCTCTGGCTTGCGTCGGCCGCGCCGGCGGTGCGCGGGTGTCTGTCTGACGGCACGGCAGCGCGAGAGCGGGGCGGGGGGCTCGCTGCTGGGCGCTGCGGGGACGGCGTGCGTGGAGGAAGGTTGCGATGTGGAAACGGCGCACGCTCGTGCTGTCCGAGGCATTCATGTCGCGCCAACAACACTGTTGATTGCCACGCTGCTTTTTCAGACCGAAATCCTCGATCTGCGATCCACGCGCGATCCCAACACACCGCTACGCACATCGCGAGCATCGAGCGTTCCACCGCGCGCCGCACGGCGCCCCCCCCTACCACATATATCTCACGGGCGCGCCAACACTCTTCCTGCAGGCTCTGGCAAGACGCTGGCGTTCCTGATCCCCGTCGTCGAGCTGCTGCACCGCGCCAAGTTCTCCCACCGCAACGGCACAGGCGCCATCGTCATCTCGCCCACGCGCGAGCTGTCGCTTCAAACCTACTCGGTCGCCAGTGACCTGATGAAGTATCACTCGCAAACGCACGGATTAGTCATGGGGGGCGCGAACCGGCGCGGAGAGGCCGAGAAGCTCGTCAAGGGCGTCAACCTCGTCGTCGCGACGCCCGGACGCCTCCTCGACCACCTCCAAAACACCAAGTGAGCTCCCTCGACTGCGCACGCGCCACCAGTCGAGAAACAGGGTCTTCCATGCGAACGGAACAACCAGCCAGCCGCCCCGACTGCACGCCCTCACCCGACTCCACCCCATCATCGCCACCTCGCACCTCCCCACATGACAGCCCCCAACAACGAGACACCCCCCTGTGCTGCAGGGGCTTCGTCACGCGCAACCTCGCGGCGCTGATCATCGACGAGGCGGACCGCATCCTCGAGATCGGGTTCGAGGAGGAGATGCGCCAGATCGTCCGGCTGCTCCCCGCGGACCGCCAGACGATGCTTTTCAGCGCCACGCAAACCACCCAAGTGGAGGACCTCGCGCGCCTGGCGTTCCGCGGCCGGCCGATCTACGTCGGCGTGGACGACTCGCGCGCGGAGGCGACGGGCGAGGGCCTGGAGCAGGGGTACTGCGTCGTTCCGAGCGAGCGGCGGTTCTTGCTGCTGTTCACCTTCTTGAAGCGCAATGCGAACAAAAAGGTGCGCGGGAACGCAAGTCGAGGATTCGCGACTGCGGAGCGCCTGTCTGTCTCTGGCCTCGTGGCGCCCGGCCCGGGTCTTGCCGCGCATGGTTGTTTGTTCCTTCCTCGCGACATTATTATTATTCCATAATTGATATTTTGCGCTACGAAGATGGTTCACGATCATTAAACAGTCGTCGGATGCCCACGGCCGTGACGACAACTCTCGTGCTGAGTAGCGCAATACCCCCCACACTTCTACCGCACGAATACACTCCCCCCCCCACCCTTGGTCTGCTCGCCCCGCCGCCCCGCACGCATACCCCCGCGCCGGCCCGCCGCGTCCTCCCGGCCGCGGCGAACTGGCCGAGCGCGGCAAACATGCGTGCCACATCCAAGGCGGTACTGCTTTCCGCAGCCGCGGCACTCCACCCGGCGAGCGGCAATTGTCACGCCAACACTCCCCCTCCCCCTGAGCGCACGCTCGCCCGTCCGCAGCCAACTCCTGGCCACCAGACGGCGGCGCTTGCTCGTGCGCGGCGCCCGTCGCTCGCCGCGGGCGCGCAGAGACTGAATGTGCGCGTGGCAGACCTGGTTTCATATGTTGCAGGTGATGGTCTTTTTCTCGTCTTGCAACGAGGTCAAGTTCTACTCGGAGCTCCTGAACTACATAGACCTCCCCGTCATGGACATCCACGGCAAGCAGAAGCAGCAGAAGCGCACGTCGACCTTCTACGACTTCTCGAAGGCCGAGAAAGGCATCCTGCTCTGCACCGACGTCGCGGCACGGGGCCTCGACATTCCCGCCGTGGACTGGATCGTGCAGTTCGACCCCCCGGACGACCCGCGCGAGTACATCCACCGCGTCGGGCGGACCGCGCGCGGGCGCGGCGGGAAGGGCCGCGCGCTGCTGATGCTTCTGCCCGAGGAGCTCGGGTTCCTCAAACACCTCAAGGTGCGCATTTTTGCGTTTCCGCGCAACGGCGAACGCGCCGAATGGCAGGTCTCGTCTGTTTGACGGGTTGAACACCGGGTGGCCCGCGCACGCGCCGCCCATCGCGTGCGCATTCAGGGAGAGAGCTTTGCTGGTTTGTTTCCCGCGTTTCGGTGCGCCTGGCGGCGGCCTGGGGGTGCGGGAGGCTGCGTGTCAGTCAGAGCCCCCGTGGGCTGGCTCGCAGCGCCCCTGCGTCTGCGTGACGCGTGCGTACTGCGCCTCCGATATTGCTTGATGGCGGTACTAGGCTGCGACGAGCGTCCCGGTCTCGCCGCAGTCAATCAACGCCACCGACATCTGCCCCAGGCACCAGCGGAGCGCTGCCGCTCGCCGTTCCGGCCGCCGGCGCCGCGCCCGCTCATTCGAGCGCTTTCGATGCAACTGCAATGCAGGATGCTCGAGTGCCGTTGAACGAGTACGAGGTCCCTACGAGCAAGATCGCGAACGTGCAGTCGCAGCTCGAGCGCCTCATCGAGAAGAACTACTACCTCCACCAGTCGGCCAAGGAAGCCTACCGCTCCTATGTTCTCGCGTACAACTCGAATCAATTAAAAGATATCTTCAACGTGCACGCCCTGGACCTGGCCGGCGTGGCCAAGTCCTTCGGCTTCCCGCGCCCGCCCAAGGTCCCCCTCAACATCGAGAGCCGCTCGAGCCACGCACGGCGCGGGAAGGACGGCGCCGTCGGCACCGGGACCGCGCACGGCCACGGCTTCAAGCACAAGGCCGCGAAGAAGTCGAAGTCGTTCAGCGCAGCGAACCCGTACGGGCGGCAGACGGACGACGCGCGGCAGTGGTCGTGACCGCGGGCCCCTGTGAGGGCCGTCGGCCTTTGGTGCATCACACCTCACTCGCGCTCGTCGCAGAGTCTCGCTCGCTGTCACGCATTTCATGCTACATCAATCATACACGCACCGGCCTGCAAGGAACGCTCCTCGCTGCCGCACCTCGCCCCGCTCCCGTCACGCCGACGGCACGGCACGGGGGGGTATTTCTCCTGACTCAGGCTCACGTGGAGCGCGAGCTCCACACGTGCAGCGGCGGCAGCTGCAGATCCTGCGCGACCTCGGCCGCCGGCACGACGAGCTTCCGCAGCTGCATGCGGCCCGTGGAGTACACAAATAGCCCCGCCCCGAATTGCAGCATGAGCATCTGCGCGCTTGCGTTGGTGAGCTTGCGCCGGACGTCGCGCTCGCCGACGACGACCTTGAGGGGCATGCCGGACTTGAGCTGCACGGCGCGGTAGTCGCGGAGGTACTCTTCGATCGTGAGGCGCTGCCAGGCCGCCCCCTGATTGGCTGCCGTGCACCGGTCGACACCGCACACGTCCATGGCTTGGCCGTCCTCGGACCCCTGCAGCGTCGCTGCGACGAGGAGCACCTGCGCGCACGGGGCCGCATAGCCGTCCTTGCATCGCTCAGAATTGTAATTATAGCTTCATATTTCAATTGCGTAGTTCGTTCTTCAACGCTCAAGTAGCCGCTGGCCGGCACAGCGGCGGCCGGAACCGGCGCAGACGCAGCGCCACCCGCGAGCCCTCGCGGCCGCACCTCGCGGAGCTCCCCGGCCGCCGTGCGCGCGAGCCCGCCGATCGCTTCGCTTGCGTCCTCGCCGTGCGACGGCCGCCGTTTCCGGCCGCGCTCGTCCGCGACCTCCGAGTGCGTCAGCGCGACGTGCACGCGCCACGGCCCCGCGCCGCCCGCGCGCCCCGCCGCCTCGTCCCACCGCGACACACTCACCGCCCCCTTGCACAGCGCGGTGAGAGTGCGAGAGAGCCCACGGCCCAGAGGCGCGAGCCTGACCACGCAGTCAGGCAGCGTGCCGTGCGGCCGGAAGACGCCGCGCTTGAGGGACGCGGCGGACCAGATGCGCGCGGAGGGCTGCGCCACCGGCGCGGTGTGCGCTGTTGCGCAGGTGGCGCCCACGGGCCACGTGGGCGTGGGCGGCGCGCTCTCGGCGTGCGTGTGGCGCGCGGAGAGCCTCGTGGAGTACTTCGCGGACGGGGAGACTGCGAACTGCGGCGTCGACGGCGCGCCTTGCGGGAGCGTTGGGGATGGCGGGTGTAGACTGGGGGGGGGGGAGTGGCCGTCGAGCGACTCCGTTTCCGGCAGCGACGTCCGCGGATCTAGCCTCGGAGCGCAGTCCATGCCGGACGTCTGCTTCGTGGCCCGCCCGGGCTCCGTTGCCGCGGCATCATCGCCCGTGTTGATGTCTGCCGCGCCCAGCTCTTGCGGCGCGCCCTTCTCGGAATTCCTGCAGGCGAGCTCCCGGCGGACGCGTCGCGTCGGTCGTGGGCCATCGGGGCGCCGATGACGCGGAGGGTCGGCGGGAACGGGCGCGTGGCGCGCTCCGCGCGGAGGGATGGGCGCAAAGGAGAGCAGGAGCGCGCGCACGGGGGCTGACGTGTCCGCGACGATATTTTTCGGCGGTGAAACGACGGTCCATATCAATGAAGGGCCGAAGACGGCGCGCCGGTACGTCGGCGTCGCCGCTGCGGGCCCCAGGCGCGCTTTCAGAGTCGCTCCCTTTGACCGAAGGGGGGGCGCGCGATGCGCGCGATACGCACCGGCTGACGCATCGCAAGATCCTGGCAATGTCGTCCTGGATGAGCTCGTTCGAGGTCCTGCAGAGCGCGTCCATAGGCATTCGCGGTCGCGGTCGCAGGGCGCCCGGAAGCACAGCGTGCGCTATTCGAGCAACCGCGAACCCCGGCCTGACTCAGCCCGCTGCCCGTGCACGGAAGCCTTCAGACGGTCGCGGAGGTCGGCCACATGCCGCGGCCGGAGAGTTCCAGCACCGCACGCGCGAGCAGGCGCTTGTGCGCCGCTTGCACCGCCAGCATAGCCAGACCCCCCACACCCGCTCGTCGCGCCGCGTCCGGGCCACAAACATCATTTCGTCAATGTACATTGTCAAGATAATGGTATAAACTACCAGATAACTGCAGTTGCGCGGGGTGACAACGCCAGTGCGCCAACCGCGGGCGTTCCGACTGTAGCACCTACGTGATGGTGCAACGTGCGACGCCACATCGATGGATACCGTCCGCACGCGCAACGCACCCGAGAACCAGACGTAGCTGCGAGCGCGGGCGTGCGGCGCCACGCCAGCGGTCCTCGTGCGGCCACGCCACGCCGGCACGGCGGCACAACGGCGTCCGTCGCCATCGACCGCCGCACGCAGCCCCGTCGCGTCGCGCCCTCCCCGGCGCGCACGCGGCCGCCTGACACGCGCGCGCGCGCCCGCGCGTGCGCGCCGTCGCGGCGCCCCCGGCGTCGCACCCGCAGCCCTGCCCGGCCCGCTCTGCGATACGACGACAGGGCGCTCAAGGCGCGCGGCGCGCTCGCGGCGGACGCGTCGGCAGCGGCGGCCCCGCCGCGCGCGCCACGGGCGGCGCGCACGCGCACCGCAGCGGCGGCGGAGCGCCGTCGTTCGGCGCCGCGGAGTCTTTGTCACAGCGCGCGTAGACCGCGTTTCCGCGCCGTCAGTGCGCGACCTTCTTCCCGTCGTGGTAGAACTTGGCCTGGCAGTACTTGCACACCGCGGGGTTCTCCGCGGTGTGCCCTAGAACCTTGATGTACTCGACCTCGTGGCCCAGAGCTGGGTCCTCGTGGCCGTAGCACACCGCGACGCCCTTGCCCTTGACCTCCACCGGCGCAATCTGCGGGCGTACGGCGCAGCGGCGGCGGTCAAAGGCCGCCCGGACGCGTCCCGGGCGCGCGGGAGCGGTGCGCGAGAGACTTATGGGCGCGCGCGGTCGCGCCCGTCGCGTTCCCGCGGCGGGGGGCGCGGGGGCTGGTGGGGGAGGGGAGAGGCGGCTGCGTGCGCGCGGGGTCGTGCGCGGACCTTGGCGACGTACTCCATGGGGGACGTTTTGCCTCGGTCCAGCCACTTGTCCGTGTGCGACGTGATGCCGTCGTCCACGCCGAGGCCGCTGGTGCTCCGGAGGTCCCCCTTGGTGTTCGAGCTGTTCGCCACGAGGCCCGCGTCTGCGGTGCATGAGCGCCACGAGCGTGTGGGAGCCAGCATGGGCGGAGCAAGGGACCGCCCGAAGCGCGCGTCGTAGGAGGTTCTGGGTTGTTTCGGGCCCGTGAGCAACATGGGATACGTGTTCTCATGCCCTGCCGCAGGGTCCGGTGCGGGTGTGCGCGCGGTGCGGTGCGCTGTCGGGGGAGAGGTGGTTGGGCCTGGGTGGAGCCGCGTGCCGGAGGGCTCGTGGCCGCAGCGCACGGAACGTCGCCGTGGCTGCGTAGGCCGTTGCCGGTTCATGCCGGAAAGAGGAGGAAATTCGCGCGAGGCGCGCGCAGGAGGCGCCGTGCAGGGTGCTGTCTCACCTTGGAAGGCTGAGGACGCAGCGCGGCCGGCGTTGAACGCTGCCGGCCGTCCGCTGTGCACCCACGCCGTCTGTGCTAGCCGGCGCAGCATCACGGCGACTCCCCCCTTGCCACCCACCGCTAAAAACGCCACCGGCCCGTGCGATTCGCTGCACCTGCACGCGTGTGTACCGAGCACGCTTCAAACGCGGTCCCGTGCGCCAAACGCAATCGAAGGAGTGCCGCGCCGCCGCGTGCGCGCCTCCCCAAGCGCCGCGCACGGCGTGCGGGCCCCTACGCTTCATGATTCTACCGTGGCCGCGTTCGCCGCTCGAGGGGCTTCGCGGCGGCGCCCCTGCGTCGCTTTCGCGCCCCAGCCGCACAGCAAACCATGTCGCGCTCCAGGACGGCCACGCAGGTCCTCCGCGACCTCGCACGCGGCGTCCGGTCCCTCTCGGGCAGCTCGGCTGCTTCCAAGGCCTGCCCGGGCGAGACCCTCCCGCCCATCTCCAATGCGCACAAGTTCGACGGCACCAAGGCCCTCGACGTGAGTCAAGTACCGCGCAAAACCCCCCCCTGCTCGCCCCACCCCGGCCCCCGCGCGCCATAAGCTGACCTTGTGGGTGAACCCGCCGCGATGTCCTACCTCCGCCCGACTCACCGGCCGCGACCGCTGTTTCTGGAATATTTCGTCCTGTGCCACCCCGCACGGTCGCACCCGCGCCACTTCGCGACCTGTGCGCGCCGCCACCGCCTGCCCACCCCACCCCGCCCACCTACCCTACGCGAGCCCCCAGCGCGCGGCACGTTCGCGGACGCAGCCCCGCGCGGCCCCGGCGCCCGCTCCGTATCCCGAGCCACGCTGTGCGCCGCAGCCGCCGCGGATCGCATCGCTGTGCGCCGCGAGCAAGCCCAGAGGGGGCAGCCGTGGGCGGTCCCCGGCTTGGATCACGGACACCGCGCCGCGGCCCGCAGCGCGCGTGATACTCCCTGCGGCCCGCCGCGATCCCATGTCACACGTCGCCGCTACGCGCCGGCGCGCCCGGACCGCCGCAGCGCCGCGCGGCCGCGCCGCACCGGCCGCCGCCGCTGCTGGGCACGCGGGCCCTGGGACGAGGCGCGGCGCGGCGCCCGCGCGCCCGCGTCCGCGGAGAGGCGCTGAACGAGGCGTTCCGTGCCGGTCTCGCAGATCCCGAACCGCTTCTTGATGGGACCGGGCCCGGCGAACGCGTACCCGCGGATTCTGGCAGCGCAGGCCATGCCGCTGCTGGGACACCTGCACCCGCCGCTGCTGAAGATCATGGACGAGTGCCAGGAGGGCCTGAGGTGCGCGCCGGACCCCGCAGCGCCCGCGCGCTCACGCCGTCTCGCGCGGAATCCGCCCTGCGCGAACGCGCAGTGGACGCGCCGCTGTTCGGGGGCCTTCGCGGCGCGGGGCGTTCCAACGCGCTCGAGTCCGCGCGTGGCGCGGAGGACGCGATCGCGTGTCGCCGCGCGGACCACGCGTTTTCTTCGCAACGGCGCGGGCGCCCGGAGCCCGCTCTCGCTCCGGTCTGCGTCGACGCTTGCGGCAACACACCCGCGCCGCGCCGCGCCGCGCGTCGCAGGTACCTGTTCCAGACGGACAGCAAGTACACGCTGCTGGTGAGCGGCACGGGCCACGCGGGGATGGAGGCCGCGATCGCGAACCTCCTCGAGCCCGGGGAGACCATCGTGGTGGGGAACAAGGGCGTGTGGGGCACGAGGGTGTGCGACCTGTCGGAGCGCTACGGAGCCAAGGTGGTGGACATGAAGGGCGAGGGCGGCAAGGCGTTCGACCTCGCCACGATCGAGGCGAACCTCAAGGAACACAAGCCCGCGGTGCTGTTCCTGTGTCAGGTGCGTTGTTGTTGCACACGCTGGTGTTGTTGCGTAGCTCGTGGATGGTGTTGTTGCTTCGAAATGCGCGGTGAAACTCCGCTCAGGGGTCGACGTCCGACAGAGCGACGGCCCCCTGCGCGCCGACGCGCGCCCGCCCGGCCGCCGCAGTCCTCGAATGTTTATTTTTATTTTTATTTTTTTTCTTCGTGATCTTGTCGCGGCCCTCGCGTCAGACTCAGGCGTGTATTCGCCGAGCGTCGCGCCCCATCCGCGCTTCGCCCCCCTCGTCCCCGCGCGCAGGGCGAGTCCAGCACGGGCGTGCACCAGAGTCTGGCGGGCCTGGGGGACCTGTGCAAGAAGTATGACACGCTGCTCCTGGTGGACACCGTGTGCTCCCTGGGCGGCGTCCCGCTGTACGCGGACGACTGGGGCGTGGACTGCATATACTCGGGCTCGCAGAAGTGCCTCTCGGCGCCCCCCGGCGCGTCGCCGTTCTTCTTCAGCGAGCGCGCGCTGCAGAAGCTCATGTCGCGGAAGACCAAGCCCGCGACGTTCAACCTGGACATGACGATGATCGGCGACTACTGGGGCTGGTGGGACAAGCGCAGCTACCACCACACGGGCGTGGTGTCGACGTTCTACGCCATGCGCGAGGCGTTCGCGATCGTCAACAACGAGGGGCTCGAGGCCATGTGGAAGCGGCACCAGGACATGCACGAGATGCTCTGGGAGGGCCTGACCAAGTTCGGGCTCAAGCCGTACGTCGAGGACGACGCGGCGCGGCTGGCGACGGTCAACACCATCCGCGCCCCGGACGGCGTGGACATCGCGAAGGTCATCGGCAACGCCATGGAGAAGTACTCGGTGGAGATTTCGGCGGGTCTGGGCCCGAGCGCCGGCAAGGTGTGGCGCATCGGCCTCATGGGCATGAACGCCCGCCCCCAGAACGTCCGGCTCGTGCTCAACGCGTTCGAGGACGGCCTCAAACAGCAGAAGTTCCTGTGAGCGAGCTGCCCGGGCCGGGGCGGCGTTCGCGGGGGCGCTGGAGCGCAGGGAAGACTCACGTCCGAGGGGTGTCTCTTTTTTCGACCCGGGTCGAGGAGGCTCGGGGGCGCGGCGCGCGCTGAGGCGCCGCTGCGACTGTGAGAGGCACTCGCGACGTCCGACGCGCGAAACCATGCGCTTGTCAAATACCTCGTACACGCGTGATTGGCCGACACGTTCAGAGGGACGGAATCGATCCCTTCGTGGCCCTGATATGCGTTCCAGCCCCTTGCACCAGGCCGCCCCGCTCGAGCAACGATGTTCAATCAATCACCTAGCGAAGAAAAACACCATGTTGTGTCGCTTGGGTTGGGTGCGCCCTGCGATGCCGACGTGAGGCCTGCGCCGACCCACAGCGCACACCGCGGCTGTCAGACTCCCGTGTTACATCGACGCGAAGAATGTGACACCTCATCGCCGGCCGCTGTATCCGCGCCGCAAAAGAACAACGTAAAAAATAAAGACAACATGCCAACCCGCGCATGCCGCGCAGCCGCAGCCGCGCTACTCGGAAGGCGCTACGGAGCTCGACGCCCCCGTGTCGTCCACGTCCACCTCGACCCCGGCGAGGCGCCACGCCAGCGCGACCACCTCCGTCACGTGCGCGGTGGTGATGTCAGCGGGGTCGGGCGGGTACCGCTGCCCGTGGTACGTCAGCGTGTCGCCGAACTCGGCGTCCAGGATGTCGCGGATGTCCGCCGCGATGCGCTGCGCGTACAGGAGGCGCCCGCAGACCCCCTCGACTTGGCGCGCATCTGCCTCCGAGATCGACGCACCCGCCTGCACCGAGACACACGGGCGACGAGGGAGCAAGAGTGTCAGCCGTTTGCCGCGCTATCGGTGCCAGCGGATGGACGAAAAAGAAAGAAAGATACAGGTGTTATCTTGAGATATAGTTCAGAAGATACGAAGACGATACGAAGATGGAAGACACAAAAAAATAGCGCCACCGATACATCGATGGAAGGAGTGGGAGAACGGGTACAGTTACGCGCCGCGGCGCGCTGCTTGCGGTCGCAGCGTGCCACGAAGCACAAACAACACATCCCGGGCACTGGTCGTCCAGGTGTAGATCGCACCTGCGCTGTCTGCAGGAGGCCCGGCGACATCGCCTGCAGGTCCCGCACGGCCCGCTCCCGCTCCAGCGTCGCCGACACGCCCGTCTCCCACACCTCCACGGCCTCCGCCAGCCGCAGCGCCTGCCCCGTCGCCGCCCCCTCCAGCGCGTACCTCCGCGCCATGTCCTGCTGCTGCCACGTCGGCATGCCCAGCAGCCGCCAAATGCGCTCCAGCCGCGCGTACAGCAGCTCCTGCTGCGCACGCAGGCCCTTCTCGGGCATGTGCGGCGCCAGGGGGGTGTCTCCGCCCGCCCGCGAGGGCTCCGGACTGACCGCCAGAGAGTCCCCGGGGGTGTCCGCCGCCGTCGGCGCCACCGACGCCTCGTCCTTCTCCGACACCGCGGACAGCCCGCGCGCGGCCTCGGCGGGCTCGGCCTCCGCCGGGCCGTCCCCGTCCGACAGGAACCGCACTCCCCCGGAGGCGCGGCTCTTCCCCGTCGAGCCGCGCCCGGACGCGCCCGGCGGCTCGAACGACACCGTTGCCTGCCGCCTGCCGCTGCCCACCTCGGTCTTGCTCGTGCGCGTGCGCGCGAACTCCCCCGTCCGCCGGTCATTCGCGACCCCCAAGCTCTTGGCGTGCACGAGCTCCCCGCTCCCGTCGTCGTCGTCGCCGGAATCCGACCAGTCGAAGTTCGACGCACGCGACGCGCTCGTCGGCACGCGCCGCAGCACCACCGACTGCTGCCGCGCCGACAGACTGAAGGTCGCAGAACGCAAAAACCTATTGAGTTCTACCTCGGCCTCCTCCTCCACAGACGCCTCCGTCGACGCCCGGCCGGACGCCGCGGCCTCCGCCGCGGCCTGCACGTCCGTCGCGTCGAGCGTCGACGCGCGCGTCGTCAAGTCAGCGAAGTAGTTCAGCCGCAGCGACTTTTGGAGTTGCAGCGCCTCCTGCAGGACGATTCCGGAGTGCGACGGGCGCTGCTCGCGGCGCGGCGGCGACGGCCCGCGGGGTTTCGGGCCCGGCCCGATGCCGCCGTCGTGCACGTCGATCGTTGCGGGCTGCGAGGAATCGCCCAGGTGCTGGTGGCGGTGGCTGCGGCCCTTCATGTGTTGCGAGGGTTGTTTTGCGCGGGCGTGGCGCGCGGACGCGCGCTGCGCGTGCCCGGTGCCCGGGGGCGTCACGGACGCCCCGCGCTGGGGAGGTGTTTCGGGGGGTGTGGACAAAAAGTCCTCCTCGTCGAAGCTCGACCACTCGCTGGCGTCGTCCGACGCGTGCGCATCGCCCGCGCGGGAGCCCCCGCCGCTGGCGTCCGACACGCTGTCCCACTCGCTCGTCCGCCCCCTCGCCGGCACCTCTGCGCGCTTGGCCGCCATCGCGCCCGTCACGGCCGCAAGGCGCTTCGCCCGCTTCTTCCGCCGCGCAGCTGCATGGAGAGAGCGCGCACGTGTGCGTCGGTGGGCTGGTATCGAAGCGCTGGCGGGCGTTGCCACGCGTGCAGGAGGATGTAAACACCCGCGAGACGGGCGTTTGGGCAGCGCGACGGGCAGCGCAAGCGAGGACGGGTCGGCCCTTCCACGTCCTCCTGCGCGACGCCGCAGCGCGCGCAAGGAAGCACGCAACAACCACCAACACGGCAGCGACACCAAAAGACCCACCTGCGGCGCGCGTGCCGCGCGCGTGCAGCTGGTCCTCCGGCACCCCGAACTTCCGGATCTGCGACCGGCTCTCCTCCACGCTCCGCCCCAGCACCTCGAGCAGCGCCTTCGTGTCGATCCCAATCATCGCGTTGCGTTTCCGCATCTCGTCGATCTCCTGCGCCGCCAGCTCCGCCGCCTCCAGCGTCACCGTCGGCATCAGCCGCCCGTCCTCGCCCGGCGTCGTCGCGCGGTCCACGTACGCCCCCCAACCCTCCTGCTCCGCGTGCACCAGCTCCGCCATGATCTTGGCCAACCCTAGGTACCCCGTGTCCTCCTGCGCCGCCCACGCCTGGCCCGGGTGCGTCGCGATCGCCACGCTCGTGCGCCGCTGCCGCCGCACGCCGTCCAGGGGCGACGCCACCGAGCCGCCCTCGCCGAACGGCAGCGGTGACGCTGGCGCCGGCGCCGGCGCGCTGTGCCCGGACGCGTCCGGCGCAGCCGCGCCGTCGCCGCCGCCGAGCAGCGACGAGCGCTTCTTCGCCTCCGCGATCTGCGCCTTGACGTCGCGGATCGCGTCCAGGCGCTCCCGCAGGGCGCCGATCACTTCCAAGTGCCCGCGCGCTAGGCGGTCGAGGTTGGCGTTGAGGCTGCCGTCGAGGCGCTCGCCGAGGAGGCGCTGGAACTCCTGGCGCGCCTTCCGGGCCTTCTCGCGGGCCTGCGTGCCCTCGAGCGCCTCCAGAATCCGAGCCTCCACATCAAACCCAGTTTGCTGGGGCTTCCGGGAGGGCCCGTTGACTGCAGCGCGCGCGGGGGAGACGCGCGTGTGAGCGGCGAAGCTCTGCGCGCCGCGGGCGGGCGCCGGCGCTGCGGCGGCCGCTGCAGGCAGCGCAAACACATGGGGGGCGCGCACCGTCCGCGAGCGCCATCCCCGGCGGCGGCGTCTCCCCGTCGGCCTCGCACAGGAGCCCCATGATACCCTGCAGCCTCCCGAGCAGCGTATCCGCCGGCCGGATCTTCGCGATGCTCATCGGGTACAGCCGCTCGAGCGCGTGCGCGGCAATCGACTTGCTGCGGCGGAACGGCGCGAGCGAGACGGCGCGTTTCATCGGGGACTTCCGGGGCGAGTCCGCAGTCGGAAAGAGCCCGCTCGTGGCGGTCTGCAGCGAGCGGGTGCGCGCGGGCGAGCCGCCGCCCTTGTTCGGTACGACCATGAGCTTGCGGCGGTGCGCGACGCGGAGCTGGCTGCGCATGCGGATGCGGTTGACGGCGGGGTCGAAGACGCCGCGTGCGTCCATGGCTTTGCGGCGTTTCTCGAGCGCGCTCTTCGCGCGATGCTCGACGGCCTCGGAAAACTCCTCCAGGTCCTCGCGCCTGTGGGGTTTGGGGAGTGTCGTCGAGGACGCGGCGGACGGGGCGGGGGCGGATGCGTCGTGCGTTGGGAGGGGGGGGGCGTTGCGGGTGCGGCGCGCCCGGGCGCGTGGAGCCGGGGAGGTGTAGTCAATGCGGAGTAGTGATCGGCAGATCGAGAATCCTCGATTGGAAACGCGGTGGATCGATCGGGGGGGGGGATCGCACCTGCTCGTGACGGCGTTCTCGAACGTGGTGGCCCTGGAGGCCTGCCGCTTCAGGAGCGCGGCACCACCTGCGACGCGCGGGAGCTTCCCGCCGCGCACGCGCCCCGCAACGATGGGCGACACCCGCCCCCACCGCGTCATAGGCCTGCTGCCAGTAGCATCCTGGATGGTCTGGTTGAGCTCCCGCATCGCCTCCTCGACCTGCGCGGGGGCGCAGGACGCCGGTGGGGGACAGCGGAGCGACGCGGGGCGCCGCGGGAGGCCAATGGCGCAGTTTGGGTGGCCTGGGCGGGCAGCTGAGGGCCGGGAGCGTCCTTTCCGCCCCGGTTCAGTCGATTTCATGGCGTGGTATAGCGCGAGGAGTGCGTTTGGGCGCTTTGCGGGGCAGAGGTGCGCGTGGGAGGCGGTGAGACGACGGCAAGGCAGGCGGGGGACGAAGACAGCGCACCGGCGGCACTTGCGGGACCGCGTAGACCTTGCGGTTGTCCCCCGTGCGCGTCTCGCTGCTGTAGACCGTCTGGCTCAGCGCAAACGCCCGCGCGTGCTGCAGCGTGGCGATGCGGATGCGCCCCGAGCGCGCCCGCCCCATGAGCTGCGCCATTGCGACGTCATCCTCGCTCTTCTGCATTATGATGCCGCCACAGCTGGGTCCTCGCGCCTTCAGTGACCAGTTCGGGCGAGCCCCGAGGGCCCCATTGCTCGCCGCTGCGCGGGGTAGTCTGCTGTGCTTCGCTGAAGGACCTGCCAGGCCGTGGCTGTCTGGCGGGCGGTCTCAGGGCCTCGAATGCGCGCCCCGAGCAAAGACGGTGGTCGTTTCTGCGCGCTCCGCGCGTGCGAGGCCGCCTCGAGGCCGGCACGGTGTGTTCTACCGCCCCGAGGGTGGCGTGCCACCGCAGGATGTCAGGTCCGTCAGCGGCCCGCCTGGGGCCTCACGGGCGCCACTCGCGGGCGTCCGTGCCACTTGCGCACCATTCAGCGTCGCGGACACCAGAAACAAGCGAGTTCGTGGTCGAGACGGACGGAAACGCACTTCCCAGGCCCTTTCCTCAGCAACGCAGCGCGCAGGTGCCGCACGCTCGCTAGTCGGGCCTTTGCGCTGTCGCGCTCGCTGGTCAGCCGCAGGGAGAGATGAGTTCCATCGACGAGGTCAGCAGGATCGCCATCTGGCGCGAGCACGTCAAGAAGGAGGGCGCGCTGGTCATGCGGACGGAGTTCTCGCTCTCGCACCCCAACCGCCTCCAAGGGATCCCAGAGAAACCCAACAAGGTCGACCCGAGGGTGCAGGTGCGCGCACGGCGGCGCCGCGCGCGCCGCGGGAGCGGCGCGACGGCCGCGAGGCCCTGCGGACCCACACGGCGCGCGTGGCGGCCCCTGGGGCGCTCCGCGTGGGTTCTCTCGCGCTCTCTCGAGCCTCGAAGATGTGTGCTTGCGCATGTACACGTTCCGGAGGCGTGCGCGCCGCGGACCGCGTGCGCGCGCGCCAGCATGCACCGCGCGTGGGGGGAACAGCGGGTTGGCGCGGCGAGGCTGCGGCGAGACCGTCCGTCCTGCGCGCCCCGGTCGCAGGTCAACGAGGAGGCGACGCTCGCGGCCACGACGAAGCTCAACGACCTGAGTCAGACCAAGGACACCCACCTCCTGCCCTTCCAGAAGTACAAAACACCCCAGACTACCTCGCAGGTGCGCGCACCCCCCCCACGCCCTTCCGTTCGCCTCACCTCGCCTCAGCGCGCCGACGCGCCGTCCGTTCGCGCGCCCCGCGAGCCACGCCCCCGGTCACCACCGCGCACCCCGCGCCAGCCACCTCGCCCCGCAGCAATACGGCTGGGTCCAGGAGCAGCTCATGAAGCCCCGCAACCGCTTCACGTACGGCAAGGGCCAGTGCGACGTGACCACGTACGCGGACCACTACTACGCCATGTCTGGGAGGTCGCCCTACGCCTCGGGGGCCGCCAGCGCGCTCGGGCCGGGCTCGTAGCCGTCACAGCGCGGCGCGCGCGCGTAGCCAGCCGCCGGCGACGCGCACGCGCCGCCCTGTAACGCCGCGTCCGCGTCAACAAACCACGCCGCAGCCCCACGCGCGACGACGGCGCGCGGGGGCCGGTTCGGCGCGCGAGGCACCGTCCACGCGAACCCGCAGCCGCCTGCGCCGGCCCCTGCGGACTCGCGCGACCGCGGCACCGCAGCGCGCCCCCCCTGCGGCGGACAACACACCCTCCCGGCGTGCTACTCAGCGCCCCGGACCGGCCCTGCGGCACCGCCGCGCTCGGCCGGCCTGCCACCGCCCGCGCGCGCTCTACGCGGTGCCGGAGGCGCGCCGGCGGGCCGTCCTCGCGGGGGCACCTGCGGATCCTGGTAGCTGCAGCTTAAGTGTGTGTGCATGAGTCCTGTCTAGGGCTCGGGCGTGCGCTTCGGAGCCGGGCCGAGGCGTGCGCGGGTGGGTCCTAGGGGGCGCAGCTAGGCGCTCGCGACCGCGGCGGGGTCTAACGGCCGTAACGGTCCAGCGGCGGGCGAGCGAGTCGCGTCAGTAGTGGCCTGGACAGTCGCAGGGAGACCAGTGGGCCCGTGGAGACTCCGGGCGCGGCTGCGGGGCCGAGTGCGGCCGCGCGCGGGCTGGGCGGGTACTCTTCGCGCGCAGACCGAGGTCGAGCACGCTGGTTCGCGACGACTCGAGCCGTGGCGGGCCAAACAAGGCCTCGACTCCGCCCTAGCTTCGCCGGTGCAGCGGTGCGTGCGGCCACCTTGTTCGACGCGGGTGGTCTCGAGGTACTCGAGGAGGGAAGGCCCTTCGTTTCGCACGCGAGCGCGTCGTCCGAGACGGTACGCACGAAGACCATGCAGTGATCCTCCGGTGCAGCGGCGCGGCGCGTCGTGGGCTCGCGCGCGGCGCGTTTCGCGATCAACGCGTTGTCGTAGATTGTTTCCGTCCTTCGCGACGGAGTCGGCCGCAAACGTGCACGTTGGGGGGCGGCTAGGGGAGCCCTGCTGATGGGGCTCGCGCCGGGCGCGTTCGAGCCTGGGCGTGGCGCCTCCGCGCCGTCGGGGGGCTTAGTTCCATTCCACGGTGATCGTTGCGCGCGCGTGCGTCGTCGGAACCGGCGGCGGTGGCGCACGGGGAGGCTGTGGCATCACCGGCGTGCCCCCTCCAACATCGCGCGCAGGTGGATGCTTGAGCAGCCGGGGCGCTCAGCATCGTTTCTGACCCCACAGTACTTGGCGATTCCGGAATGTCATCCCCGGAGGTGAAGCCTGCGACCGGGGCGGCCGCCTCGAGTGGCCCGGGCAACAAAACGGCCACCGACCCGCGCCCGGCCGCGATGCCGCGCACCGTCAAGCTGCCCGTCGTCAGCGAATATCTCCCCGAGCAGCTCCACGGCACCAAATGGGCCATGGAGTCCTTCACGGTCAAGAAGAAGCTCGGGCAAGGCAACGGCACCTCCGTCCTCCTCGTTGAAACCGCGGACGCCGAGCAATTCCCCTTCGCCCTCAAGGTCCGGCCCCCCCTCCACGCACCCCCGCTCCCGCGATCGCGCCGCACCGCGCCCAGAACACCCCGCTACACCCGCACCGCGCCCGCCCACTGTCGCACCAGCCACGCACCACAGTGCAGTATCCTCCCGCCCCTGCGCGCCCACGCCGCGCGCACCGCCCACCCACCCCCCGCGCCGCCCCCTGCACGACCTCTCCCGCGCCGCCACCGCGTTCGGGGCCCGCGCCGCCCGCCGCCCGCGCCGCACGACGCCCCAAGCCCCCAGGGCACCCTCAACGGCTCCAGCCCGCTGCTCCCGCCGCTCCCGGCCCCGAACGCCGCGCCCCCGCCGCGCACGGCTCCCCGCAGGTCTACCGCCGGTCCCAGCTGTCCAACCGCGCGATGCGGCACCTCAAGCGCGAAATCACGATCCACTCGAAACTGCGGCACAAGAACGTTCTCCAGTTCTACTGCGCGTTCGGGGACCTGCACCACATCTACATCGCGCTGCAGGTGCGCCAGACTCGCCCCGCGCCACGCGCGCGCGCCCGCCGCCCGCGACGTCGCGCGCGCTGGCCCTCCACTGGTGGCTGCATCCTACCACCCGCACCGGCGCCCTTGGGCGCGCCGCGCGGCGTCGCCACGGCGTCGACGCGCGCGTTCCCGCGCGCCCCGCCCTTATGCAATTCATTCGCGGCCCCGCCGCGGTTCCCGCGGCAGATCGGCCGCGCGGTGGCGCGCAACGGCGTGACCTATTTCGCCCCGTGTCTGAGCTGGCCCTCTCGGGCGGCGCCCCCCGCCCACCATCCGCGCCCTCCGCGCCCCCGCCGCGACGCAGTACGCGCCCAAGGGCGACCTGTTCAGCCAGGCGCGCATGCTCAAGCGGCAGCTCCCCAGCGAGGCCAAGGTGGTGACCAAGGTGCTGTTGCCGCTGCTCGAGGCGTGCGAGCACCTGCACGCGCGCAACGTCGTGCACCGCGACATCAAGCCCGAGAACATCCTCTACGGAGAAGACCGCGAGCTCCTCCTCGCCGACTTCGGCCTCGCCATCGACGCCAGCGAGGTACCTAGGACCCTCCCAAACATAACTACGCACAAGTACTCGTAGATAGATATGCCTGCTGCCCGCCCCCTCTCCGCCCCGGCGCCGACCAGCCTGTTTACGTCCTCCTCCGCACCGCAACCCAAACCCCACGTGTGCAGGAGCGTCCGGTGTCGCGCATCGGGACGCTCGAGTTCATGCCGCCGGAAGTCCTCGTCGCGCCGGACGAAGAGGGCCCCGGGTTCGACGCGTCGATGGACGTGTGGTCGCTCGGCGTGATGGCGTTCGAGCTGCTCCACGGCCGGTCGCCCTTCCACCAGCGCAACAAGGACGCGTCGGCGTGCAAGGCCGCGATCGTCGGGCAGAAGATCGAGTACCCCGCGCACTTCTCGTTCGAGGCCGTGCACTTCCTGGCCCTGTGCCTCAACCGCGACCCGGCCAAGCGCGCGACCGTGCGGCAGCTGCTCGCGCACCCGCTCATCGGCAAGCACCAGCCCGCCGCGGCGCTGCCGCTCATGCAGTCGGTCGAGGCGACGTGGCAGCAGCAGGGGTCCGGCGAGCAGCGCGCGGACGGGAGCACGGCGTCGATCGCGGCGTACAACCAGGGCGACGCGGGGGAGAATGCGACGGCGCGCACGAGCCCGATTTCGCGGGGCGCGGGCGGGGACGGCAGCAGCGGCGCGGGCGACACGCACGGGCGCGAGGGGTACGGCGCGCGGTCGCAGGGCAACATGCACGGGTGGGTGGCCCGGGCGCCGGCGAGCATGGCCGGGAACTGCGACAAGGGGGGGGAGTCGCGCAACAGTCCCCCCCGGGCCAACGTGGAGGAGCAGTCGCACAGCGTGCGCGCGCAGCCGGCCGCCGGCGCCTCCGAGCGCCTGCTCTGGACCGACACGGGCAGCCGCCGCCAGCAGCCCGTGCCCTCGGCGCGCGCGCTGGGTCTGCCGGTGCCCCGCGACGGCGGCGCCTCGCTCAACGGCTCGCGCATGCAACGCGAGCCCTCGGCGCGCTCGCTCGCGCAGCACGCGGCCATGCAGCGCACGATGCAGTCCAGCACGTCGCGCGCGAACCTCCACTCGCTGCTGCCCAGCGCTCAGGAGGGGTCGGTGCTGCCGGCGTCGAGCGCCTCGAACGTCCTGGAGCCCAACTTCAACGCGCACACGAGCTCGCACACCGCGTCGTCGGTCGGAGACAGCGACTACGCGCCGCAGTGGCGCCACGCCCTGGACACGGCGGCGTCGCAAACGGAGCTGTCGGACGCGCCCGCCGACGCCGGCGCGTCCACGCACAGCACGGGCCACGTGCCGCGCGGGTACCGCAACGGCTTGCCGCACCCGGCCGGCCGCGCCGTCGCGCCGTCGCCGCTCTCGTCGTGGAGCAAGTCGCCCTCGGGGAACTACGGCCGTGGCGCGGGGCCCGGCCCGTCGCCGCTCTCGGGCGCGCCCACGAGCATCACGACGACGACGAACCAGTCCAGCGGCGCCAGCTCGGGCGGCTCGGACAAGGTCGCCACGCAGCCGCACGACTTGCACGCCCAGGGGGGCTCTCCCGCGCGGCGCGCCGGCGGGGCGAAGTGGAACGAGTACGGCAGCATGACGGTCCGCGCGGACTCGATGATGGACGTCGTGAGCCCCGAGCAGGCCGGCGGCGCCGGCGGCCGCCTCGTCGCCGCCGACAGCCGCGGCGGGGAGCAGCAGCGCGGCACGGGGGGCTCCAACTCGGGCCGCGACTCGCACTCGAACCCGTTCGTCTCGCGCTTCTCCGGCATGCGGCAGACGGACCGCGCGGACGCCGCCGACGCGGTCGCGCACCGCGTGCAGGCCATGGCCGTCCGCGAGGGCACCGACAACTGACACCGTGCCACGCTCGACCGAGGCTCGCTCGCCGGCGCCGCCCTCCGCAATCCGCGCGCCGGAACGTCCGGGCCCGAGACTCGCTCACGGCGCGGAGCGAGCACTTCCCCGCGAGCCGTCTGATCCCTTGGGACTCCTGGCAACCCACCCTTGGCAACCAACTCTGCCTCCGCCCCGGGGCGCCGCCTGTCTTGTCGGTTCGAGCTCAGCTCCCTGTCCCGTTCCCCGCCCTCCCCCTCCCTCCCCTCCCCTGCCTAGTACATAGCCGCTGGACCCCCCACCCGCGTGGTTGACTTCGGCCCAAGCGCCACCATCTTTCCTCTGGACTTGAGACGACCCCCTTCCTTCCTTCCCGCCTTTCCCCCCTCCCCCCCGCTCCCCTCTGACCTTCGCTTTGCATCCTTCCCGAGCCAAGTTGAGGATATCTATCCGCCGTGCGAGTGGCAGGGATGTCGGCAGAAGCGTTGCCTGCTCTCGCCATTCTGCGAGCAGGCGGCACGCCTAAGCACTCACGAACTCGCGTCGAAGCCCTCCCCCTGCGGCACTGTCTCACCCTCCTCGTGCCACTCTGTCCGCACCCCTCACCGTCGGTTCCCCCCCGCGTGCGCACGCCGCACGCTGGGCATCCCGCCGGCACCGCGCCTGCTCCGTCGCCACGCTCACGACCGGGCCGCAACGCTGATGTATGCGTGCATCTCGGCCCGCGACCCTGCCGCCAGCCTCCCCACCGCGCCGTGCGCTCCTGGCACGCCGCCACGGCACGCCACCCTCACGGGCGCGCCCTCCGCCGCCGCGTACAGCTGCGCCTGTCCCGCCTGGGAAGACAGTTTTGCGACAGACCGGTGCGCCGGTGTACTCGCCTGGCACGCCCCAGGCGGAAGACTCCCACTTCCAGGCAGCTCCAACACCCCCCTTCCAACACCGCACTTGAGACGCACCTCAGGACCTCATTCGATTCAAGCGGGGCGCGACACACCCCCCGCTGTATCCGAGCGCCCGCGCAAACGCGAACTGTGTCGACTGCGCGGCCTCTTCGACAGTGGGAGCTCTCAGCACGATCTCCATCTAAACCCTGCACGACCCCCCCGCCCCCCTCTTCCTCCCGTTTTTTTCCGCCTCAATGGCCCAGCAACACCTGGGATGCGCCTCTGCGCTGCGAAACGCCCCTCAAGTGCGTCGGTCACGCCGAATCCCCCCCCCCCGGCCAGCTGCTCACTTTTCCCGCTGTGCGTCCGCGACACCTCACACGCCTGTCGCGGCGCCGTACTTGCGCTGCGAGCGCCGCGTGCGTCCCCTCGAGGCTGCGACGCGCCCATGCGGCGCTGGCGCTGGCTGCAGGGGACGCGCGCTGACAGCACAGCCCTGACGCTGCGCCGGCTATCGCCGCGCAGGCGCCTGCGCGCCCCCGAGAGTTGCATGCGTGGTTGTTAGGAAGAAGGAATGTGCGGGAACGGAATCCATGAATCAACTTCATCATTTGTGAGCCCAATCAAGTCCACAGACGTGTCATGTATGATCCCTTTTCGCATGACAGGCCACGCGCGGGGGACGGCGATGACGAGGAGAGCTGAGTAGCCGTCGGCGCGTCGCCACACAACGCGGACAATGCCGCAGACTCAGTCACCGCTGTCACCCAGCCGGCTGCCGACACCCCCTGGTACAAGCAGCCTAGGACGTGGACCAGCACTTCGGCGCGTCGGCTGGCGGGCGTCGTCCAGTACTCGCGCGGCTCGCCGCGTTGTTGCTGACGACGCCCGCCACTCACTCTAACTGATTGCAGGTCAGAGCCTTCCCTTGGCACATGATGGCACGCTCACATGGCATTTCGCGCGAGTACTCCTAGCACGCTGCCGCCTTGATCAGGACGATAGCACACCCGCATTTCGTTTCGTGCGCGGGTGGTCAATTACTACTCTGTGTGTCGTGTTGTGCTGCGCCGGGCCTCGAACATGGGGCTTTGGCGCAGTGCCAGCTGAGAGCTACCTCCCTACTCCGGCCTTCAACCGTCGGCGTAGACGAGCCTGCCTCCGGCTAACTGACTCCGCCGTCTCACGTCCGTGGCTCACCGCCCGGCGTGCTAGGAACGCGCAACTTAGGTAGAGCTCTCCCCGTCATCGTCGCCCTCCCGTCGTGGCTTGATTACTGCATCCTCGGTCTAGTTCCGCACACCACCCTCTTTTCACCCCCAAAACCTCTCACCATGCGCACTCCAATCGGTCGCCGACGGAGGAAACGGCTCCAAGCAGCGTTGCGTCTCAGCGACCAGGCCGGCACCGCCGAGGCGCGCACGCTGCGTGGCCACCTTTCGAATGGCACCCTGTTCCACCATGTCGCAAATCTAAATGACCACGACCCGAACTTTCGACCCAGCATCACGCACGCACGCCGCATCGCGGCCGCTATTGCTCCGCAGGCATCTCCCCGTGCCTGGCCCCCTCCTAGCCCCCACCACACACCCTCCCACCCCGCCTCCGCACTAGCCCCTCGACCCTACTGGGACTACGTGCCCCGCGACGAACGGGCGCCCGCATACCCGCACCCGTGCCCCCCACCGAGCGCTCCTTTCCCACCGCCCCCGCCGGCGCTCTCGGACCTCGCCGCGCTACCATCGGTCACGGCAAACCCCCCGCTTGCGGCGCGCGGGGTTGTCTATGTCCTCTTGTGCCGGAAATACCCCTTCTTTTACTATGTCGGGGAGACATACCGCACAGCGATCGAACGACTGCAGGAGCACTTTGATGCAGCATTCACGCACCATCCGAACGCCGTGCACACCCCGCTTTACGAGTTTATGCGACGAGTGTGGGCGCAGTCGCCGAACGGCCATGTCCCGTGGCGCGACTTCACCATCGTGCCCCTCTTTCGCATCAATTTCGCACGCCAGGTGCCCATCCCGCCGGCGACTAGCCCGGACGCTTTGAAGGCCTGGTTCCACAAGTTCCGCACCTACTCCCTGGCCTGGGAGCAGACCATGATACGCTGTCTGGGCTCCACATACCCCGGCGGCCTCAATTACTGCAAGGGCATGTGGAATTTCGGCTACGGAGCTGGCCACTCTGATGCTGCCCCATGGCCTCTATCCCCCCTGGCGTTCCAAATCGCCGCTGACCCCCACCCCGTAGCGATCCCCCACAACGACTTCCCCGTCCCGCCCGGCCCGAGTGGGCTCCCAGCGCTGGCGACCCTCTTCCAGCCAACGTTTGCCATCTCCTCCACGCATCAACGTACCATCCACCTCGACGCTGACAACTGCCTCACAACTACGGCACCAGCGTTGTCCCTGCCCCCCGCTATCGCAGGCATGTCTCCGCGCCTCGGTACACGCGAGTATATCTACCAGACTCGCCTCCTTCTTGACGTTGTTTTGTTCCGCCGCGCCGGCGACACAGAGCACGATCATTGGAGACGCGCGGTGAACCATTGCACGGCAGCGAACATCGGAAAATACCTCTTCTCCCTCCATCACTGCGTGTCGCACATGCATCCCGATGCGCTTAACCTGGGTCTCGACGAGCCCTTTTACACACAGCAGATGTTGGACAGTGCCCGCACCGTTTTGCAGGCCGCCATCAACCACCACTACCCTCCCGTCGCAGACATCGACCTCGGGAGCCGTACCCTCATGATCCACGACTTCCCTACCCTCCTGGCTAGCCTCGCCCCCCTCGAAACCCTCGTCAATAATGATGACTTTCTCAACCTCTTACCTGAGCGTATCCGCGAAGGTATGGATGGCTTGTTTCTGGTGGCCCCGCGCTATTCGGTCAGGTTTCCACCGCTGTCGCGCTCGGTGTGCACGCACAGCGGAGTTGCCAAGTTTGCACGCAGTCGCCTGTACGACATCATGGCGACGCAGTGCGACTGTGCGCAACACCAAGGACCGGACCTACGACGCCACTTCACGCTCGAGGACCCCTACTGGCAGATCGACGGCGAGCCTGTGCGGCACCTCTGCACGCTGGACCCTGCTGCGGCGGGCATCCAGAGCACCGCGTACCGCCGTTTGTTCGCCGTCGGCGGTGCCAAGCACCGACACGTCCCGGAGCTGCACCAAGCCACGAGCGCGACCGTAGCTAGCATCGTTGAAGCCTACCAGAAGCCGCTGCTCGGGTGGACGAAACGCGTCAGCAAGGCCGCCGACATGGACGCGGCAGCGTGCATGCCGTACATTGATGCTATACTTGCTGCTACGCAAACGGCACTCCAACCCGCTCTTCAACCCGGGTTCCGCCTTCCATGGCCCCCGCCGCTGGCGGACATTCAGCCCGACGATCGCGTGGCTCTGCGGCGAGACGCGACACGCCTCACCATCACGACCATGGACAAGAACGCCGGGAATTTGGTTTTCGTGTGTCGGCGCGCCTACATCGAGGTCCTCCTGCACGACCTGCACAGCAACGACGCTTTCGCTGTCAACGAGCCGGCAAATGCCAACATCACGCATGCCAGGCACGTGGTGAACGTCGCTAACACGACGGAGGCTATGTTGGACAACCTGCAGCTACCAGGAATACGCACCGAACGCGAGTGCGGTGGTCTACCGCACTACTACGGGACGATGAAGCTTCACAAGGCCAAGGTGGACGTGCGGTACATCTCGGACTGCTCGAGCGACATCACGCGCCCCGCAGCGCAGCTGCTGACGAAGGCCCTCGGCGCGCTCATGTGCCACGCCACCCTCGTGGAGGTCTGGAGCTCCATCTTCGACGGCGTCCCGGAGGACCTCTGCAGCAGCTTCGCGCCCTTCTTGGTGGACTCCAGCCGCGGCATGCGTGACATGGTGACCGCGTATCTACATGACAACCCACCACGCTCAGCGATACATGCTCAACAACCACCTCTGCTGCTGGGCGCCGACATCAAGCGGCTCTACACGCACATCCGGCACGAGACGAGCGCGGACCACGGGACCGGCCTCATCGACTGCGTCATCGAACACATCGACGCTGTTTTTGCACTGCATCCAGGGCAACACCTCCTGATCGACTTGCAACCCGCGT